GGGGCACGAACCCATGTCCCCTGCATTGGCAGGCGGACTCTCAACCACTGCGCCACCAGGGAAGCCCGCTTTGTCCATTTTTAAATCAGGTTATTTGTCCTTTTATTGTTGAGTTATAAGAGTTCTTTACATACTCTGCATACAATTCCCTTATTAGATATATGATTTGCAAATATTTTCTCCCATTGTGTATACTGTCTTTTCACTTTCGTGATGGTGTCTCCTGACTTTGTTTTTAAACTTGTATGAATTTTGTGTAAGTTCTTTCAACCTTTGAAGATTAGGTGTTAAAAAAAATCATTATATTTTCAGTCCTACTGAAAAGCTTTCATAGGCTCTCATCATATTCAGGAAAAATAAAAATACCAGCTCTTAAGGTATTCATGATCCAGAATGTGACCACCTCCTTGAACGTCTCTCTCACATACCTTACCCTTCAGTCTATATGCCCTAAGCCAAACTCATCTGCCCCTGGTAATACGTTTCTCCTTAGTCTTCCCCATCTTAATAAATGGCAACTCCACCCTTCCAGTTGCTCAAGCTAAAACCATGGTGTTAGCCTTGACTACTTTCATACTTCACCACTCAGTCCTTCAGTGGATCCTCTTAGTTCTGCTTTCAAAATATATCCAAAATCCTACTTCTCACTATCTCCCCTCTTGCCACTCTGGTCCATACTCCAATATTTCTTGCCCATATTAGGGCAGTAGTCTCCTAACTATAATTTCCCTAATTCCTTGCCTCATCATAGTCTATTCTCAACACAGCAGCTAGCATGATTCTTTTAAAACATAAGTCATATCATATCATCCTTCTAAACCCTTCAAAGACCTTCCAATTCACTTATATTTGACTAAAGTGCCTTATATGATCTGGCCTCTTGATTCTTCTCTCACTTTATCTCTTACCTCACTCCTCCTCCCTCACTTCACACCAGGAGCCCAGGCCTTCTTGCCTCGGGGCATGGCTCCAGCTATTCCCTCTACCTGGAATGCTCCTTTCTCCAATGAGTTACACAGCTTGCTCTGTCTCCTTCTTTAGGTCTCTGCTCAAATGCTGCCTTTTCAATGGTGAGTCTCGGACCACACCACTTAAAAGAGCAAATCTCTATCCCAATACTCCCTAGTCCCCTATTTTGTTTTATTTTTCTCCATAGCATTCATTACCATATAGCATGGTATAAATTTACTTGCTTATGTATTTATTGTCCATCTCCTCCAACTAGAATGTGGACTCAAAGAAGGCAGAGATTTTGTTTTTAATCAATTTTGTTCACTACAGCAATTAGATAGATAGACAGACAGATGGATAGTTAGCAAATATACCTCCAGCAATCAGAACAGTTCTGGTATACAGTGAGTCCTCAACAAACATTGAATAAACGAACATCTGAATTTGTGGGTTACCAATCATACTTGCTATATAACTATTAGTAGACAAAGTTTTAAAAGCACAACAACTTTTAAAATGTTAGTTCTTACACTTTCCTATGGCATTTCTGATAGTCTTCTGAAGAGGTACCTAAGAAAGGGAAAAAAACAATCTATTAGAAATATAATTCAGGGGAGGGTAACCAAGATGGCAGAATAGAAGAATGTGGAACTCACCTCCCACAGCAAACACATCAAAAATACATATACATGTAGAACAATTCTCATGGAAAACTAACTGGAAACTGGCAGAAAAAACTCCTATACAACCAAAGCTGTGAGACAGATCTCCACATAACCAGGTGAGATGGAAGAAAACGGCACTGGGTCAGGACTTGTGCCCCTGGGAGAGATCTGTAAGGAAGAAAAGGTCCACATGGGTGGACCCTCGTCCTGGGGAGCAAGCAAGTCAAGCCCAACCTGGACATCACAGTCCTTGGGTCCTGTGCACAGGAGACAAGCACCCTGGCCTGCTGGGAAATCTGCTGAGACAGACAGAAGGGCTGAAAAAGCCTAGACTCTACCTTAAGGAGTACACACATTCTGGCTTGCTAACAATCAGGGCAAAGAGAACCTCATGTCACTTCTCAACCCAAAGGGGCAAGTACCCCAGCCCCACTCACTCCACACTATAGCCTGGTGTAGGTTCTGGGCAAAGACTTGATCTAGCTACCCAGAGACAGACCAGGGTGCCTGGGGTGTGATCCGGGTTGAGCTGTGGTGGGTACTGTCAGCGTGCGCATAGGGTGGCATCAAAAGAGTGTGCAGTGGTTAAGCCCTGAACTTCGAGCACATAGGCCCTGGGAGAGGGCTCCATCTAGCTACGCAGAGACCACCAAGAGGGCCTGGAATGTGATCTGGGTGGAGCCGTGGAGGCCATTGTCAGCACGCTCAGGAATACACGGTGGTTCGGCTCCCAGTGAGAGTGCCCTGGCTCCACCAATTCCACACCACACCTTAGTGGTAGATCTGGAGCAGGCAGGTCTTGGGAGAGGTCTGCTACAGAGGCAGCCCAGATCTCAGGAGGAAGCACAGCCACCTCAGTTCCTATATCCACAATGCCCTGACCGCCAGCCACAGCCTATGTCACACCAGAGCCTTGCACTATATCTGGGACAAATACAACAGAGAAAGGGACGCGAACTTAAGCAGCTGCTGAGCAGAATCACAGATGCCTACACAGGTGGCACACAGGTCCTCTGTGACTGAACAAGCCTCACTTGCTTTGGGACAGGGGACAGACTCAAGGGCAACAGAGCCTGATCAGACCCAACCCTCAGAGCTTCTAATCCAACAACTGGGGAGCAGACCTGCCTCTGACAAAGTGGTGACAGCCACTGAGCAGAGAGGAAGCCCTGCCTCACATTCTGCATAGGCTCTAGATACTCTAACATGAACCACACCCCCTATCAAGGGGATAACAGCCAGAAAAACCTGAGGAAGGACATGGCTGGGGTCTATACCAAAACCAGCCTTTGCACCAAAACATGGGACACACACAGCCTGCACCAGGATGCTCCCACATAAAAACACCCTTTCAAGACCATAGTAGATAACTGTTTCTCTTAAATTAATAGAGACAAAGTTAAGTAAAATGAAAAGTCAGAGGAACTATTCCGAATTAAAAGAACAACGATCCTCTGTAAGAAAAAAACAATGAAACTGAGCTCACCAGTCTACTAGACCTTGAACTCAAAAAGGTGGTAATAAAAAGGCTAACATAATTAAGAAAGATTATTGATAAAAATGCAGATCACTGTAACAAGGAACTAGAAATTATAAAAATGAACCAATCAAAAGTGGACAATTCAATTACCAAGATAAAAGCCAATCTAGAAGCAATGAATAGCAAACTAAATGACACAGTAGAACAAATAAGTGATCTGGAAGATAGAATAATAGAAATCACCCAATCAGAACAGCAGATAAGCAACAGGGGTGCGGAGGGCAAAGCGGAGAGATTCCCGCACAGAGGATCGGTGCCAACAGGCACTCACCAGCCCTAGAGGCTTGTCTGCTTACCTGCTGGGGTGGGCGGGGGCTGGGAGCTGAGTCAGGCTACAGTCAGAGCGCAGGGAGAGGACTGGGGCGCAGGGAGAGGACTGGGGCATGAACACAGCCTGAAGGGGTTAGTGCACCACAGGTAGCCGGGAGGGAGTCTGGGAAAAAGTCTGCACCTGCCGAAGAGGCAAGAGACTTTTTCTTCCCTCTTTGTTTCCTGGTGCGTGAGGAGAGGGGATTAAGAGCACTGCTTAAAGGAGCTCAAGAGACGGGCGTGAGCCGTGGCTATCAGCGCGGACCCCAGAGACGGGCATGAGACCCTAAGGCTGCTGCTGCCGCCACCAAGAAGCCTGTGTGCGAGCACAGGTCACTATCCACACCTCCCCTCCCGGAAGCCTGTGCAGCCCGCCACTGCCAGGGTCCCGTGATCCAGGGACAACCTCCCGGGGAGAACGCACAGCACGCCTCAGGCTGCTGCAACGTCACGCTGGCCTCTGCCACTGCAGGCTCGCCCGCATCTGTACCCCACCCTCCGCCAGGATTGAGTGAGCCAGAGCCCCTGAATCAGCGGCTCCTTTAACCCCGTCCTCTCTGAGTGAAGAACAGACACCCTCCAGCGACCTACACGCAGAGGCGGGGCCAAATCCAAAGCTGAACCCCAGGAGCTGTGCGAACAAAGAAGAGAAAGGGAAATTTCTCCCAGCAGACTCAACAGCAGCGGATTAAATCTCCACAATCAACTTGATGTACCTGCACCTGTGGAATACATGAATAGACACCGAATCATCCCAAATTGAGGAAGTGGACTTTGAGAGCAAGATTTATTATTTTTTCCCCTTTTCCTCTTTTTGTGAGTGTGTATGTGTATGCTTCTGTGTGAGATTTTGTCTGTATAGCTTTGCTTTCACCATTTATCACAGGGTTCTGTCCGTCCATTTTTGGTATTTTACTTTTTAAAAAAATTTTTTTCTTAATAATTATTTTTTATTTTAATAAATTTATTTTATTTTATCTTACTCTATTTTATTTTATCCTCTTTCTTTCGTTCTTTCTTTCTTTCTACTTTTTCTCCCATTTATTCTGAGCTGTGTGGATGAAAGGCTCTTGGTGCTCCAGCCAGGAGTCAGTGCTGTGCCTCTGACGTGGGAGAGCCAACTTTGGGACACTGGTCCACAAGAGACCTCCCAGCTCCACATAATATCAAATGGCAAAAATCTCTCAGAGATCTCCATCTCAACACAAACACCCAGCTTCACTCAACGACCAGCAAGCTACAATGCTGGACACCCTATGCCAAACAACTAGCAAGACAGGAACACAACCCCACACATTAGCAGAGAGGCTGCCTAAAATCATAATAAGGCCACAGACACCCCAAAACACCACCAGACGTGGACCTGCCCACGAGGAAGACAAGATCCAGCCTCATCCACCAGAACACAGGCACTATTCCCCTCAACCAGGAAGCCTACACAACCCTCTGAACCAACTTTAGCCACTGGGGACAGACACCAAAAACAACGGGAAATACGAACCTGCAGCCTGCAAAAAGGAGACCCCAAACACAGTAAGATAAGCAAAATGAGAAGACAGGGAAACACACAGCAGATGAAGGAGCAAAATAAAAACCCATCAGACCTAACAAATGAAGAGGAAATAGGCAGTCTACCTGAAAAAGAATTCAGAATAATGATAGTAAAGATGATCCAAAATCTTGGAAATAGAATACAGAAAATGCAAGAAACATTTAACAAGGACCTAGAAGAACTAAAGAGGAAACAAGCAACAATTAACAACACAATAAATGAAATTAAAAATACTCTAGAAGGGATCAATAGCAGAATAACTGAGGCAGAAGAACGGATAAGAGACCTGAAAGATAAAATAGTGGAAATAACTACTGCAGAGCAGAAAAAAGAATGAAAAGAACTGAGGACAGTCTCAGAGACCTCTGGGACAACATTAAACGCACCAACATTCGAATTATAGGGGTCCCAGAAGAAGAAGAGAAAAAGAAAGGGACTGAGAAAATATCTGAAGAGATTATAGTTGAAAACTTCCATAATATAGGAAAGGAAATAGTTAATCAATTCCAGGAAGCACAGAGAATCCCATACAGGATAAATCCAAGGAGAAACATGCCAAGACACATATTAATCAAACTGTCAAAAATTAAATACAAAGAAAACGTATTAAAAGCAGCAAGGGAAAAACAACAAATAACATACAAGGGAATCCCCATAAGGTTAACAGCTGATCTTTCAGCAGAAACTCTGCAAGCCAGAAGGGACTGGCAGGACATATTTAAAGTGATGAAGGAGAAAAACCTGCAACCAAGATTACTCTACCCAGCAAGGATCTCATTCAGATTTGATGGAGAAATTAAAACCTTTACAGACAAGCAAAAGCTGAGAGAGTTCAGCACCATAAAACCAGCTTTACAACAAATGCTAAAGGAACTTCTCTAGGCAAGAAACACAAGAGAAGGAAAAGACCTACAATAACAAACCCAAAACAATTGAGAAAATGGGAATAGGAACATACATATCAATAATTACGATAAATGTAAATACATTAAATGCTCCCACCAAAAGACACAGACTGGCTGAATGGATACAAAAACAAGACCCATATATATGCTGTCTACAAGAGACCCACTTCAGACCTAGGGACACATACAGACTGAAAGTGAGGGGAAGGAAAAAGATATTCCATGCAAATGGAAACCAAAAGAAAGCTGGAGTAGCAATTCTCATATCAGACAAAATAGACTTTAAAATCAAGACTATTACAAGAGACAAAGAAGGACACTACATAATGATCAAGGGATCGATCCAAGAAGAAGATATAACAGTTGTATATATTTATGCACCCAACATAGGAGCACCTCAATACATAAGGCAAATACTAACAGCCATAGAAGGGGAAATTGACAGTAACACATTCATAGTAGGGGACTTTAACACCCCACTTTCAACAATGGACAGATCATCCAAAATGAAAACAAATAAGGAAACACAAGCTTTAAATGATACATTAAACAAGATGGACTTAATTGATATTTATAGGACATTCCATCCAAAAACAACAGAATACACATTTTTCTCAAGTGCTCATGGAACATTCTCCAGGATAGATCATATCTTGGGTCACAAATCAAGCCTTGGTAAATTTAAGAAAATTGAAATTGTATCAAGTATCTTTTCCGACCACAACGCTATGAGACTAGATATCAATTACAGGAAAAGATCTGTAAAAAATACGAACACATGGAGGCTAAACAATACACTAATTAATAATGAAGTGATCACTGAAGAAATCAAAGAGGAAATCAAAAAATACCTAGAAACAAATGACAATGGAGACACGACGACCCAAAACCTATGGGATGCAGCAAAAGCAGTTCTAAGAGGGAAGTTTATAGCAATACAGTCCTACCTTAAGAAACAGGAAACATCTCAAATAAAAAACCTAACCTTGCACCTAAAGCAATTAGAGAAAGACAAACAAAAACCCCCAAAGTTAGCAGAAGGAAAGAAATCATAAAGATCAGATCAGAAATCAATGAGAAAGAAATGAAGGAAACAATAGCAAAGATCAATAAAACTAAAAGCTGGTTCTTTGAGAAGATAAACAAAATTGATAAACCATTAGCCAGACTCATCAAGAAAAAAAGGGAGAAGACTCAAATCAATAGAATTAGGAATGAAAAAGAAGAAGTAACAAATGACACTGCAGAAATACAAAGGCTCAGGAGAGATTACTACAAGCAACTCTATGCCAATAAAATGGACAACCTGGAAGAAATGGAAAAATTCTTAGAAATGCACAACCTGCCAAGACTGAACCAGGAAGAAATAGAAAATATGAACAGACCAATCACACGCACTGAAATTGAAACGGTGATTAAAAATCTTCCAACAAACAAAAGCCAAGGACCAGATGCCTTCACAGGCCAATTCTATCAAACCTTTAGAGAAGAGCTAACACCTATCCTTCTCAAACTCTTCCAAAATATAGGAGAGGGAGGAACACTCCCAAACTCATTCTACGAGGCCACCATCACCCTGATACCAAAACCCGACAAGGATGTCACAAAGAAACAAAACTACAGGCCAATATCACTGATGAACATAGATGCAAAAATGCTCAACAAAATACCAGCAAACAGAATCCAACAGCACATTAAAAGGATCATACACCATGATCAAGTGGGGTTTATTCCAGGAATGCAAGGATTCTTCAATATACGCAAATCAATGAACGTGATACACCATATTAACAAATTGAAGGAGAAAAACAATATGATCATCTCAATAGATGCAGAGAAAGCTTTCAACAAAATTCAACACCCCTTTATGATAAAAACCCTGCAGAAAGAAGGCACAGTGGGAACTTTCCTCAACATAATAAAGGCCATATATGACAAACCCAGAGCCAGCATCATCCTCAATGGTGAAAAACTGAAAGCATTTCCACTAAGATCAGGAACAAGATAAGGTTGCCCACTCTCACCACTCTTATTCAACATAGTTTTGGAAGTTTTAGTCACAGCAATCAGAGAAGAAAAGGAAATAAAGGAATCCAAATCGGAAAAGAAGAAGTAAAGCTGTCACTGTTTGCGGATGACATGATACTATACACAGAGAATCCTAAAGATGCTACCAGAAAACTACTAGAGCTAATCAATGAATTTAGTAAAGTAGCAGGATACAAAATTAATGCACAGAAATCTGTGGCATTCCTATACACTAATGATGAAAAATCTGAATGTGAAATCAAGAAAACACTCCCATTTACTACTGCAACAAAAAGAATCAAATACCTAGGAATAAACCTACCTAAGGAGACAAAAGACCTGTATGCAGAAAATTATAAGACACTGATGAAAGAAATTAAAGATAATACAAATAGATGGAGAGATATACCATGTTCTTGGATTGGAAGAATCAACACTGTGAAAATGACTATACTACCCAAAGCAATCTACATATTCAAGGCAATCCCTATCAAACTACCACTGGCATTCTTCACAGAACTAGCACAAAAGATTTCACAACCTGTATGGAAACACAAAAGACACCGAATAGCCAAAGCAATCTTGAGAACGAAAAACAGAGCTGGAGGAATCAGGCTCCCTGACTTCAGACTATACTACAAAGCTACAGTAATCAAGACAGTATGGTACTGGTACAAAAACAGAAATATACATCAATGGAACAGGATAGAAAGCCCAGAGATAAACCAAGCACATATGGTCACCTTATCTTTGATAAAGGAGGCAGGAATGTACAGTGGAGAAAGGACAGCCTCTTCAATAAGTGGTGCTGGGAAAACTGGACAGGTACATGTAAAAGTATGAGATTAGAACACTCCCTAACACCATACACAAAAATAAGCTCAAAATGGATTAAAGACCTAAATGGAAGGCCAGAAACTATCAAACTCTTAGAGGAAAACATAGGCAGAACACTCTATGACATAAATCACAGCAAGATCCTTTTTGACCCACCTCCTAGAGAAATGGAAATAAAAACAAAAATAAACAAATGGGACCTAATGAAACTTCAAAGCTTTTGCACAGCAAAGGAAATCATAAACAAGACCAAAAGACAACCCTCAGAATGGGAGAAAATATTTGCAAATGAAGCAACTGACAAAGGATTAATCTCCAAAATTTACAAGCAGCTCATGCAGCTCAATATCAAAAAAACAAACAACCCAATCCAAAAATGGGCAGAAGACCTAAACAGACATTTCTCCAAAGAAGATATACAGACTGCCAACAAACACATGAAGGAATGCTCAACATCATTAATCATTAGAGAAATGTAAATCAAAACTACAATGAGGTATCACCTCACACCAGTCAGAATGGCCATCATCAAAAAATCTAGAAACAATAAATGCTGGAGAGGGTGTGGAGAAAAGGGAACCCTCTTGCACTGTTGGTGGGAATGTAAATTGATACAGCCACTATGGAGAACAGTATGGAGGTTCCTTAAAAAACTAAAAATAGAACTACCATATGACCCAGCAATCCCACTACTGAGCATATACCCTGAGAAAACCATAATTCAAAAAGAGTCATGTACCAAAATGTTCATTGCAGCTCTATTTACAATACCCAGGAGATGGAAACAACCTAAGTGTCCATCATTGGACGAATGGATAAAGAAGATGTGGCACATATACACAATGGAATATTACTCAGCCATAAAAAGAAAGGAAATTGAGTTATTTGTAGTGAGCTGGATGGACCTAGAGTCTGTCATACAGAGTGAAGTAAGTCAGAAAGAGAAAGACAAATACCGTATGCTAACACATATATATGGAATCTAAGAAAAAAAAATGTCATGAAGAAACTAGGGATAGGACAGGAATAAAGACACAGACCTACTAGAGAATGGACTTGAGGATATGGGGAGGGGGAAAGGTAAGCTGTGACAAAGTGAGAGAGAGGCATGGACATATATACACTACCAAACGTAAGGTAGATAGCAAGTGGGAAGCAGCCGCTTGGCACAGGGAGATCAGCTTGGTGCTTTGTGACCGCCTGAGGGGTGGGATAGGGAGGGTGCAGGGAGGGAGACATAAGAGGGAAGAGATATGGCAACATATGTATATGTATAACTGATTCACTTTGTTATAAAGCAGAAACTAACACACCATTGTAAAGCAATTATACTCCAATAAAGATAAAAAAAAAAAAAGAAAATCACCATGAGATGAACACCACAGTAAGAACTGTGGCAATCAAGTTCTTCTGATGAATGGTAATATCAGTGAATGAAAGTTTGAGGAGAAACAGGACTTATGGAGTCTCAAACTATCTTTTTCTAGGTATTTATTAACTACAGAGGGAAACTAGTAACTTTACAGTGGAGAAAACCAGCAGATACCACCTTAATTAAGTGAAGTTTAACATCACCAATAAGAAGATATATGTACTGACATTAAGAATTCCTTAATACATCATTTCTGTGGTGTTCTTATCAAAAATTGCATAATTTCTTTCCTATCATGAGAAAACACTAGACAAATTCAAACTGAGGGACATTCTAGAAAATAACTGATCAGTAATCTTCAAAAGTATCAAGCTTATGACAGACAAACACTGAGCATCTGTCACAGATCTCAGTAGACTAAGGGAGAAATAACAATCTAATTCAATGTAGGATCCTAGATAGGATCCTGAAACAGAAGAAAGACGTTAGTGGAAAAACTGGTGAAACGTGAATAAAGTCTGTAGTTTAGTTAACAGTTTAATACCAATGTTAATTTCCTGATTATCACCATTGTATTACGATTGTATAGGATAATATTTCAGAAAGCTGGATGCGAGGTATATGGGAACCCTTAGTATTACTTTTGCAACTTTTCTTCAAGTCTAAAATTCAAAATAAATGTTTTAAGAAAGTAAACCCATATGTACTTAAGCTACTTACTATTAGTCAGATATGATGTGGAGCCAAAGGTAATCCTAATCAATGAATTTAGCTTAGAAATCATTCAAAAGAAAAAGTACTTTGCTTTTCCAATATAGACAAGGGTTTCCTCTTGTGATACGAGGAAAAAGAATGTGAAACTTACCTAAAATTGCAGAGAGGTTTGAAAACTGTAGTGCCTTCTGTATCGGTACTGCTTTACTGGTGTCCAAAAGAGTGGAATTCTTACACAGCAAGTTTTCTTCCAACATGGGACACTCCCAATCTAAAAAAGCAGGGAGAAATGGCACAAAATTTTGAACAACAGCACACAAGTGGCAGATTACCTTTTTCTCCTCAACTTAGGTCCCCAGCCCATACCAAGCTACAGTAGTTGAAGAAAGTTTGGGTGAGACAGAGAAAAAAAGACAAGCCTTGACGGCATCAGGATATTAAATAATCTTTGGGCTTCTGCAGTCCCCTAACACTCTTATTTCCTTTTACCCACCTCTTTCCCATTGTCCTCATACTATTATATCACATATTTAGTTAGGTCAATATTCAATATAGACATAATGATGATAAACTGCCATAAAAATCTTAATTTTTACTCTTGTGGTATATACCATGACCACCTTTTGTTTTTCCTGGAGTCAATAAAAGTTTTGTTTGTTTAGTTTTCTCTGTATTTTTCATCTATTTAATCCTAAACTCTACCAAATTGTATAAATCCATTCTGTTTATTCCATCCTCAGATGTTCTGAAATTTCATAATGTTTTGTCTTGGTGTTTTTCATCTATTGTGCTAGGCACAGTATGGCCCTTTTAATCCAGAAATCATATTCTTTAGCTCTAGAAAGTGTTCTGTAATTGTATCTCTGATAATTTTCTTCCTTCTGTTTATTTCATTATCTTTTTCTGGAACTCCTATTGTTTGATATTAGATTTCATATATTGCTTCTCTAACTTACCTTTTTTCTCCATTTTTTGTGTTTTCCTCCTGACTTTTTTTTTTTCTGGGAAATCTCCTCAACTTATCTTCTAATCCTTCTATTGAGTTTTCCATTCTACTACTGCATTTAATTTGTTCTCTGAATATTCACCCCCCTTTTTTTCCCACAGCATCCTATTCCTATTCAATGGATGCAATATACATTTTTGTATCTCAGTGAAGGTTTTTTTTTTCCAGTATCTTCCTTGTATTCCTATTTCTGCTTGGTTTCTTCTCTTATTTTTAATTTTATTATGGTGGAAACACTTAACAGAAGACATACCCTCAAATTTGTAAGAGTGCAATAGAGTATTGTTAACTGTAGGCACAGTGCTGTGCAGCAGATTTCTAGAACTTATTCATCTTGCATAACTGAAATTATACCTGTTGAATAGCAACTCCCCACACCCCTTTCTTCCAGGGCCCTGGCAACCAACATTCTACTCTCTACTTCTATGAATTTGACTTCTTTAGATATCTCATACAGGTGGAATCATATAGTATTTTTCTTCCTGTGACTGGCTTATTTCACTTACCATGGTGTCCTAAAAGTTCTTCTATAGTGTTGCATATAGCAGGATATCCTTTTTTTTTTTAACATCTTTACTGGAGTATAATTGCTTTACAATGGTGTGTTAGTTTCTGCTTTATAACAAAGTGAATCAGCTATACATATACATATATCCTGATATTCCTTTTTTTTTAAGGCTGAATAATATTCCATTGTATGCATATACCATATTTTCTTCCTCCATTCATCCCTCAATGGTCACTTAGGTTGTTTCCACATTGGGTTATTGTGAAAAAGGCTGCAATGAACACGGGAGTGCAAATATATCTTCTAGGTCCTGACTGCAATTAGTTTGAATAAACACTCAGAAGTGGGATTGGTGGATCATATATGGTAGTTCTACTTCTAATTTTTTGAGTAACTGCCATACGGTGTTCCATTGCAGCTTCACTATGTTACATTCCCATCAACAGTGTAGAAGGGTGTCCAGTTTCTCTATATCCTTGCCAACACTTCTTTTTTTTTAAATAATAACCATCCTAAGAGTTGTGAGGTGATATCTCACTATGGTCTTGATTTGCGTTTCCCTAATGGTTAGTGATCTTTTCATATACCTGTTGGCAATGTGAATGTCTTCTTTAGGGGAAATGTCTATTCAAGTTCTTTGTCATTTTTTAATCAGGTTATTTGGATTTTCTTTTCCTTTTGAATTGTGGGAGTTTCCAATATATTTTGGATATTAATCCCTTATCAGATATGTGGTTTGCAAATATTTTCTCCCTTTTTATAGGTTGCCTTTTCACCCTGTTGATTGTTTCTTCTTCTGTGCAGAAGCTTTTTAGTTTTATCAAGGCTCACTTGTCTAATTTTGCTTTTGTTCCCTGTGCTTTTGGTGTCACATAAAGAAATAACTGCCAAGACCAATTGCCATGAAGATTTTCCCCTATGTTTTCTTCTAGGAGTTTTACAGTTGCTGTTCTCACGTTTAAGTCCTTACTACATTTTGAGTTGACTTTTCTGTATGATATAAGGTAAGGGTCCAATTTCATTCTTTTGTATCTGGATACCCAGTTTTGCCAACATCATTTGTTGAAGAGACTACTTCTCCCACATTGTGTATTCTTGGCACTCTTGTGAAAGATCAGGTGACCATATATTTATGGATTTAGTTTTGGGCCCTATATTCTGTCCTACTGGTCTACATGTCTATATTGCCAGTACTATAATGTTATATTTACTGTAGCTTTGCAATATATTGATACTTTGAAATCAGTTAAGTGTTGATTTTCTGTCCAAATGTTCTATCCATTATTACAAGTGGGGGTACTGAAGTCTCCTACTGTGATTGTATTGATGCCTATTCCTACCTTCATTTCTGTCAGTGTTTGCCTCATATGTTAGTTAGGTGTTCTGATGTTGGGTGAATATTTATTCATAATTGTTACGTGTTCCTGATGAACTGACCCTTATATAATTATATAACATCCTTCTTTGTCTCTTATAATAGTTATTGACTTAAAGTCTATTTTTATCTGATATAAGTATAGCCCCTCCTGCTCTCTTTTGGTCACCATTTGCACGGAGTATCTTTACCCACCCATTTATTTTCAGTCCATGTGTGTCCTTAAATCTAAAATGAGTCTTTTGTAGACAGCATATGGCTGGATTTTTTTTCAATCTATTCAGCCACTCTTTGTCTTTTGATTGGGTTTAATCCATTTATAGTTACAGTAATTATTGATAGAGAAGGACTATTACAATTTTGTTGTTTTCTGTTTTGTAGTTCTTTTGCCTCTCTTTCCTCTTTTGCCATGTTCCTTTGTCTTTCACTGATTCTTTTATGTTGATATGCTTTGACTCCTTTCTATTTTTCTTTTGTGTCTCCTCTATACATATTTTGTGTGTGTGTGGTTACCATGGGGCTTACACAAAACATAGTTTAAACGGTCTACTTTAAGCTGATAACAATTTAACAAAAACTCTACACTTTTACTTCACCCCTCAAACACACTTTGCAATACTGATGTTACAATTTACATCCTTTTATATGGTGTATCCATTAACATATTTTTATAGTCATATTTAATACTTTTGTCATTTAACTTTTATACTAGAATTAAGTGATTTATATGTCACTGTTATAGTATTAGTATATTTGTCTATATACTTACCAGTGAGTTTTATACTTTCATATGCTTTTATGTTGCTGTTTTAGAGTCCTTTGTTTCAACTTGAAAAACTCCCTCTAGCATTTCTTGTAAGGCAGGTCTAGTGATGATTAACTCCTTCAGCTTTTGTTTGTCTGGAAAATTCCTTATCTTCTCTTCATTTCTTAAAGACAGCTTTGCTGGTTAGAGTATTGTTGGTTGACAGTTTTTTTCTTTCAGCACTTTGTCTATAAAATTCCACTCCCTTCTTGCCTGCAAGGTTTCTCCTGAGAAATCTGCTGATAGTCTAATGGGGTCCCCTTGTACATATCAAGTCACTTTTTTAGTTGCTGCTTTCAAAATTCTCTTTTTGTCTTTGACTTTTGACAATTTGATTATGTGCACCCATGTGAATTTCTTTGGTTCATCTTATTTGAGGTTTGTTGGGGTTCCTAGGTCTGGATGTAGATTTCCTTCCCCAGACTTAGGAAGTTTTCAGCCACCATTTCTGTGAAAAAGCCTTCTGGCCCTTTCTCCTTCCCTCCCTTCCTACCTCCCTTTTCCCTATGGGACTCCCACAATCCATACACTGATCTGTTTTCTTAACAGAAATCTCAAACTTTCTTCATTCTTTTATATTCTTTTTCCTTTTTGCTCCTCTGATTGGATAATTTCAAATGACTTATCTTTGAGTTTGCCGATTCTTTCTTCTGCTTGATCTAGTCCAATCTCTTTTACTGGGTTTTTAAAATTCATTTACTGTTTTTCTCAGCTCTAAGATTTCTTTTTGGTTAACTTTTTTCCCTATCTCTTTCTTAAAATTCTCACTTTCTCTGTGCATTGTTCTCCTGAGCTCTTTATGAACATTTGTTGAACATCTTTATGACAATTATTTTGAATTCTCTGTCAGGTAGTTCATATATTTCCATTTAATTAGGGTCAGTTTCTGGAGTTTTATCTTATTCCCATTTTTTGGACCATGTTTCGCTGTTTCTTTTTCTTTAATGATTTGTGTTGGTATCTGCACATTAGAAAAAACAGCCACCTCTCCCAGTCTTCACAGATAGGTGTCGTACAGAAGACCTTCACCAATCTTCCCAACCAGAGATTCTGGGATCCTCTCAAACCTTCTTGCCAGTTCAAACCACAGTCTTTGTTCTTAGTGCCCATGAGGAATCTAGGATACACCAAGTCCCATCAGTGCTCCAAGACAGATGAGACAAAAACTATTCCTTTGAGCAGCCCCCGGAAATGTTGGAATGTTGGACACAGTCCAACTCTTTCCTGCTCCAGAGAGAAGCTGGGATCTAGTGAATGTTTTTATGCTAGGACAAAATACTATCTTTGTTTCAGCACCCATCAGACTTCTAGAGTATGTCAGGTCCCATCAGCCCTCTGAGGCAGATGAGACAGTAGGCAATTCTTTGACTATTCCCAGAAAATTGAGAACTTTTGACACATGCTTCAGTCCTTTCCCTCCCTCCCTAGGGAGAAGCTGGAAGCTGAAGGTTTCCTGCCAACCTGTGCTGGGGGTGTGAATTATGGTGAAAGCGTGTATTGAATTTTCCTACTGGCTTCTCTGGGTGTGGTGGGGGCTGAGTTAGGTCTTTGTTGCTGCGTGCGGGCTTTCTCTAGTTGCGTCAAGTGGGGGTTACTCTTCTTTGTTGTGGTGCACAGGCTTCTCATTGTGGTGGCTTCTCTTGTTGCTGAGCATGGGTTCTAGGTGTGCGGGCTTCAGTAGTTGTGGCTTGCAGGCTCTAGAGCACAGGCTCAGTATTTGTGGCACAAGGGCTTGGCTGCTCCGCAGCACGTGGGATCTTCCCGGATCAGGGATCGAACCCGTGTCCCCTGCATTGGCAAGTGGATTCTTAACTACCGTGCCACCAGGGAAGTCCTTCCTACTGCCTCTGATGTGACTGGTCTCAAGCTTGCCTGGGGTGCAGGAGCCCCTCAACTAGTTTTTAGATTTCTCACAAAGGGAATTAGTCCATGTATTGTTGTTGAATTGGTGTGTCCCTGGGGGAAGGCAGGTCTAGGGTTTCCTATTCCAACACCTTACTGACTCACTACCATATTTCGCTTTGTTCTGATCTCTATGTTTTATGTTAGAGGGTTTTCTCAGAAGTCTAGTAGTCCTTGGCTCTCTGGGGGCCCTAAATGGCTAAGTGGGATCTCTATGGCTTAGTTGGGGCTTGTCACATAGGCAGCTTCACTGTAGGGTTCTTGTCAGTTTCATTGAAGGACTACTGAGGCCAGTATCTTTAGATACTTTCTTTAGGGTTGCTCAGATTTCTCAGGAAAAAACCTTCCATTCCCTTGCCTGAAAGTTGCAATTCTGGGTGCTAGCATTCTGGAAGCTGAACAGAGTAATGAGCTGTTGGGTTAGGATGAGAATAGGCACTGGGTGAGCAAGTACCACAATTTGGAATGTACACTTGCATTTAATTCCCCCTTTCTGCATTCACTACAGTATCTGAAGCAGTTGGTTTTTTCTGTATAATAAATAACACTGAAATGCCACTAGCAGAAAATGAAAGCATTTATTTCTTATACTCATGTCTACTGTTTGGCTCAAGCAGCTCTGCTTTAGATTATATGGGTCTGGTGATCAGCTGGAGCAGCTCTCTGAAGTCTGCAGTCTGCCTGGGGCTATCCTGCTCTGTATCTCTTATTCTGGAGTCCCACAGGAGAGGTAAAAGCTAATTAGGATATACATGTGGTCCCTGACTTATAATAGTTCAACTTACAGTTTTTTCCATCATAAGTGGAAGAAGATCTGTATTCGTCTCATGATGGCCAAAAGGATAAGAGGACAAGCCCAATCATGTATGCACATATCAAAAGTTTGTTTATGTATCACTCACTGATATCCTATTGCCCAAAGTAAGTCATATGGTCAACTCCAAAGCAAAAGAGTGAGAAAGTACACTTCATCCACTATGAGGCTATGACAAGGGTATGGCTATATAATACTACTACAGGGGAATGAGTAATTGGGACTAACATTTCAAAATACCATGCTATCCCTGCTATTAACAGTACCTAGTATCCTCCAGTCCAGAGTCCCTCTGTTTCAAAACACCCCAAAGAATAAATCTCCAGACTCCATTTGAGTAGGAAAGGAGAAGTCACCACATCTTTTGTGTTTCGGACACAGCTTTTTACAAGTATTTTACAAGCCACATTGAAAACTTTTCTGGGATACTATGGTATTGTACAAACTAACTTGTTTCTGGGGTATTCTCATTGTTGATTTAGGACTCAGTTTTTTCAATTCTGCTTTATCAGACCATTTGCTCTCTAGCTTTCCAAACTTTATGCTTTATTCTTCCCCATTCTCTTTACTCTTATGTGCTTATGTCTTTTTAAAAAAGCCATTGCACAAAGTTGTGGAGGAAGGCATGTGTTCAATCTGCATCATTAACCAAAGGCTCTTAATTATACATATACTAAATGTAAATAACTGTTAATTTGTAGAAAAAATTCCGACAGGGAGATGGTCTAGTCAAGCTTTTAGTTATTGAAAAGTAAGAGAAGTATAGGAAGTAAAAGATAGCCCATCGTTCAAGAGAACAAGTATACATATGTTATGTGCAAAACTGTTTACTAACTGGATATGTATTACATATAAATGCTAATCTTTTCATCCTTCCCTGATCTGAGGGCTTTTGATCTATAGTCCTATGTGACTGAGCATGGAACACAATAGATAGTGGGCAGAAGAAGGTTTTGGTGGAAAAGAAGTATACCTCCTCAAAAGGAACATTATTCATTGCAGGATTTGTGGACAAAGGAGCAATTTCTATAGTAGAGCAACTTAAGGTTGAAATTATTTTCTCACCTAAATAATCTGATCCTCTGAAGAGTTCAGGCGATGGGAAGCTACTTAAACTCTCTTCAGAAGTCTTGTGTTCTGTATAAGAGTCTGTGATTGAGTAACTTAGAAGAGAGCTAGAAATATCATGCTGTAAACTTAGTCCTGTAGAATAAACAAACAAACAAAAAGGGTAAAATGTTTCAATAGTAAACAGATTCAAAATCCTAAGAATTCAAAGTTGTAGAAATGTACATGCAGTTATATACTAATAATGTAAAATTACACATACAACTGAAAAGGCATACTATTGTACACAATCTTAAATTGTACTTCAATCTGAGAAAATAATTCTGTTTTTGATATGGAGAAAATGCACTATAAATCTTTTCCATTGTTTTTCAAAGTTTTATAATTTATTCCTTCCCTACTTTGGTTCAGTTATAATTCCTGGCTCAAAAATGCAAGTTTTATCAACTATACTTCAATAAAAAATAAATATAAATAAATAAAATGTATACTTAATTTTTTTTTTTTTTTTTTTTTTTTTTTGCGGTACGCGGGCCTCTCACTGTTGTGGCCTCTCCCGTTGCGGAGCAACAGGCTCCGGATGCGCAGCCTCAACAGCCATGGCTCATGGGCCCAGCCGCTCCGTGGCATATGGGATCTTCCCGGACCGGGGCACGAACCCGTGTCCCCTGCATCGGCAGGTGGACTCTCAACCACTGCGCCACCAGGGAAGCCCTATACCTAATTTTTTAAATGCAAGTTTTACATATAAGTAACCCAATAACTGTAAGCTAACTAGCTGAGAAGAAGAAACAGTGATTCTAGTTATTCCATAAAAAACAATGAGCATAAACATAGACTCAAAGGAACACAGATCAAAGGAATTGAACAGAGAGCCCAGAAATAGACTCACACATATAAGAGTAACTGATTTTTGACCAAGATGCAAAGGCAATTCAGTGGAGAAAGGATATTCTTTTAAACAAATTATGTTGGAACTGGATATCCATATGCAAAAGCAAAACAAAACAACTTGCATTCATACCTTCCATCATATAAAAAATTAACTCTAAATGCATCACGATTCTAAATGCAAATCCTAAAACTACAAAACTTTTAGAAAAAAACAGAGGAGAAAATCTTCATGACACTGAGTTAGGCAAAGATTTCTTTGATATAACACTAAAAGGATGATTCATAAAACAACAGCAGTGATAAACTGGACTTCATCAAATTTTAAACCTTTTATTTGAAAGAGATGGTCAAGGTGAGAAGACAAGCCATAGATTAAGAGAAAACATTTGTAAATGGACTGGAATCCAAAATATAAAGAACTCCGAAAACTCAGTAATAAGAAAACAAACATCTCAGTAGGAAATTGGGGTAAATATCTGAACAGAAAATCTCCCAGAATCAGAGGTCTTAAAGTTATCCCTGTGAGAGTAGCCTAGAATGAAAACTTTTCTAATAAATGACAGGGATAGAACTTAGTATTTATTTGAAGAACCAGAAGATTTAGTAAGGAAAGGGAAAATACACTCTGCTATAGTCAGTCAGCATTTATCAAACACTTCTAACATGATAAAACAGAGGTCAACACTAATAGAAACTGGAGGGGTGTGGGGTAAGGGATGAAAGGAGAGCATTACTCTGAAAACCCATTATCTTCTGCCCTGCCCTATCTATACCTATCTCTGCTCATCCATTACCTACCTGATACAACTAACTCTTTATCCTTCCCATTTTGACCTCACCACACCCTTCTTTTCCACTCCAACCCCCTCCTTAAAGTTGACAATTGTTTCCTACCTGGCCACCTCCTCCAGCCACCAGTGCAACACTTAAATTGACTGACTCAAGCTACCATCCTTCACCTCCTCAGATGTCAGAGGTAAATTATGCCTCTAAGTATCTTTTGCTTCCCCTACTTCAGCTGCCCTAGAGTGTCCTTCCCTGTCCTTGCTACTTTTTACTTTTCTCACTCTGTCTTCATCCTTCTCACTGACATGTTGTTACATCTCTTGTGCCTTCCACCTCTCAAAATTCCATGAATACCACTCTCAGGAGAGCTAACCCTTCCACCAAACCCCAGAACTCAAGCCAGCCTTGGAAATTAGGAAAGCCCTGTACTCACCATCTAGGTAGTTTGGTAGAGAAAAGAATAAACAAATGTTCCTGATTATAACAGTAGAAGGTTGTTTCTGGTGTCACAAGTTAGAAATGTAAATGCACTTAGAATTACATGTATATCAAATTATACCATACATTTAAAAAAGTCAAATAGTTCTACAAGGCTTTTATCAAAAACCTCTTGTTTCATAACCCCCATAATGAAACAACTGTTTTCAACCCTATTAACTCTATTGTTTCTTTTAATATCTTCCTTTATATTTTTAAATTAAATGTATTCAATGATTCTATCATTATGACTGCTTAAATATATTTAGAGCTGAGCCATGTACTATGAGCTATATTATTTATATCGCCTTTTTGCTACAAGTTTTTGTTTTTCCTTTGAGTTATTGATAACCTAATTTTTAATTAGTTTTCTAACCACCCATTTCATCCCAACTTTTTGCAAAAGTGTAAATTTCCTCTCAAAATTTTTTTTAAATGCCACGTTATCTATCAGTTCTTTTCTTTTTCTTTTCTTTTCTTTCCTTCCTTCCTCCTTCCCTGCCTCTCTCTCTCTCCTCCTCTTTCTTTCCTTCTTTTTGTTTTTCTCTTTTTTAAAAAAATATTGCTACTGAAGATCTCAATATACTTGCTCAAATTTGGACTGGTTATCCTCTAGACATGCTGCACACATGTCTTCCCGGGATTTCCCTTTACCATGATCCTAAGAAATTCTTTCACATATTTTATGTATTAGAGCCTCTGACTTCTGGATCTCATGATTTCTTCTTTATTGATTTACTTTCTGGTTTTGCTGGAGTATCTTCTTCATTTCCTGAGAAAAGGTGCATGGAAGACCTGTCTAAAAAATTTCTTTATACTATCTTCACCCTTGAGTGATTGTTTAGCTGAGTACAGAATTCTAGACCAGTATATTTTAAAAACTGATTGCATTTTTTAGTGTTTGACAGATTTAAACCTCACTGCTCCATGTTCCCCTTCTGCCCCACATCGGTACAAGCTGATAAGCCCTGGTGCTCCATCTTCTGGCAACGCCAGCAAGTTAAAACCTCACCCCAGCCCCACCCTCTAACCACCTAAAAACCCCAACACAGTCTCCTTTCCCTGCTCTCTCAAGCCATTTTCAGTCCTGCTCTCTCAAGCCATTTTCAGTCCTGCTCAGGAGAAACCCTCCTCTCTAGAAGGCTTCATTATATCAGTAATAAACCTTTCCATACCCTCCTGGTATGTGAATGGCATCATTAACCTTGAAATTGGAAACAAATTTTGGGTGGGAATCTATTCTGTCTCTGGAAAACTGAAGGACTTCTCTCTTTATCCTGAGGATTTTTGTATTACATAACGTTGTGCCTTGGTGTGGGTCTTTTTCATTCATTGTGATGGGCAGTTGGTGCGCTCTTTCAATATGTACACTCATAACCATTTTTAATTTTAGAAAAATTTCCAGTTTTATGTGTTTAATAATTCCCTTTCTGTTTATTTTATAATATCTGGAACTACTATTTTTCAGATGTTAGAATGCCTAGACTCAGCTTATAATTATTTTTCTTTTTAAAGCTTTATTGAAATACAATTCATATTCCATAAACCCCAATCTTTTAAAGTATACAATTCGGTGGTTTTCTAGTATACTCATAGAGTTGGGTCACCACTATTTCTATCTTTTATCTTCTCTTTATGTCTGTTCAACTTTTGGAATATTTCCTTAAATTCATTACCCAATCCTTCATAGAATGTTTTCCTAATTCTATGTTACTATTTTTTAATAATTCTTTTTGTTTTCTGAATGCTCCTTTTTATAGTAGCCTGCACTTGTTTCATGGACACACATTTTCATCATCCTGAGGATAATAATGAAAATATGGCTTAGAAGTTTTTTTCTTTGCATTGTCTCTGTCTTTCAGGTTTCTTTTTATTTGGTATCTAACTTTTATTTTAAGTATTTTCTTTAAATGCCTGGTAATTCTTGAATGTTTAAGAATGAGGCACTAGGACTCCCCTGGTGGCACAGTGGTTAAGAATCCGCCTGTCAATACAGGGGACGTGGGTTTGAGCCCTGGTCTGGGAAGGTCCCGCATGCCGCATAGTAATTAAGCCTGTGAGCCACAACTACTGAGCCTGCGCTCTACAGCCTATGAGCCACAACTACTGAGCCTGCATGCCACAACTACTGAAGCCCACACACCTAGAGCCAGTGCTCCACAATGAGAAGCTACCGCAATGAGAAGCTCGCGCACCGCAACGAAGAGTAGCCCCTGCTCGCCACCAACTAGAGAAAGCCCATGCGCAGCAACGAAGACCCAGTGCAGCCAAAAATAAATAAATAAATAAATATTTTTTTTAAAAAAAGAATGAGGCAACTAAATAGCAGTTGGAAACTCTGGATTCATAAGTGGGGTTTAGGAAGTAGTGGGCTTTACTGAAGGGTATTTGGACAGGGACCAGGTCATTACTGCCAGAAATAGGTCTTTTCCAAAAGAGGAATCCTCCAATCCCTTAACTGGGGTGTATTTTCCTGAGTGGGGTAAGGAGTCTGGGGTAAGTAAACAGATTTTAGTTAATTCCCTTCCCTCCTCCTCCCATCACATCGCACTGCTAGTTTTCAATACAGCACCCCTGCCCTCAGCAGTACTGAACCATCCCTGTGTCCAGACCCTTTGCTTCAATGTCTCTGGACTGCCATGGTGGGAAAAAGAGTAGCTGCTTGGCTACACAGTGTTGGGGAAGGGATCACAGCATCTAATTGCTACTTTTGTGTGTGTGTGTGTGGTACGCGGGCCTCTCACTGTTGTGGCCTCTCCCGTTGCGGAGCACAGGCTCCAGACACGCAGGCTCAGCGGCCATGGTTCACGGGCCCAGCCGCTCCGCGGCACGTGGGATCTTCCCGGACCGGGGCACAAACCTGTGTCCCCTGCATCGGCAGGCAGACTCTCAACCACTGTGCCACCAGGGAAGCCCATCTAATTGCTACTTTTAAGGATTTCCAAAAATCCTATTTTCAACATTAACTCTATTCCTTCAGGAGTATGTGATTCCTCTAATTTCTGAAACTTCAGCTTGACTCAGTTTGCTTCTTGGTTTGTTCTAGGTATCTAGGTTTCAGCTTTTTTTTTTTTGTCTGTTAGGCGTATTATAATTTATTCATCTACATTCCAGATTCCAAACTTTTGCTGATTATTTCTTGTCAGCTGAGGTCTCTTTTTCTCTATGTTGTGGATTCATGCCTTTTTTAATGCCTTTATTGGTATTTTAGTGACGTTTCAGAAGGGAGAAGTAAACATATGTTCAATCCTCCATGTTAAATATGAAATCCTGAGTTAATTTTCATCATGTTGCAAAATTACTAGATTCCAAGACAGAATTAAAACAAGTAATTATATGTTAAATAGAATTCTGTGGGCTGCTCAAAACCTAACCATTTATATTTTATTATAGTATAAAGTACTCTAGGTCTCAAATATCAATCAACAAATGAACTCAGAATACAACCAGTTTGTTAATTAGAGACAGTCTATTTTCTAATTCCTCATACCTTTCACACATCAATTTGATAAAGCTAGTAACCAAGGACATTTATCATATATTTAAACTACAATTTTAAAAAATACTGATTATGGTAAAATTGTTTATTTCCTCTAAATAGAGTAGAAAACTCATTCAACAAGCATTTCAAACTATTTTATGTCCCAAGAATGGAATAGGAAGATAAAAGATACTGCTTATTTTCAATAGCTTTAGGGCCTAGAGGAACAAAAACAATTATACTGCTGTTTTGAGTCCTATGACAGTGCCATAGAATTACCAGGATAGAACAACTCATCTAGAAAGAGAGAAGAGCAGTCAGGAGAGGCTTCCCAGTAGAGATAGCACCTGAATCTATTTTTGAAGAACTAGCAGAAGTTAACCAGGCAAAGAGGCAAGAAGAAGAAGGAGGGAAAAGCATTTGTTGAGAACCTCCCATGCTCTTTTGCACTATAGTTTAAGAAAATTCCTCTATTCTATTTTCTAGCTAGCTAATTTAATTTTCAGCTGAATACATCTCAATATTAGGTTAATTTCTTATTTTAAAATTTGATGATATTTTTAGTTTCCAGGGACTATAATTTTTTTATAGCAGCCTGTTATATTATGGATTCAACGGCCTCTTGTCTCTAAAGAGATATTTAAAGTTTTCTACCATTTCCCTCAGGTGTTAATTCTTTTGTTTGTTGCATTTGTGGCCTCTCTTCCATGGCACTGATTTTCTTCAAAGATTTGACTGTTTCTGATTGTTCATATCTCTATTTGAGAATCTGTTTGTATGGCACAGAGTATAAATTCTGAAACAACAACCTACCTCTGGAGATTTTAGAAGAGTGATGAGACATTCTTGGAACTTACCGTCTAGGTGGGGATGTCCTCCTGTATTTTCCAGGTATTGTAGGTTACATGGGGACACTGCCCTATTTGGCTAGTATCCACATTGGAAGTCTCTTATATCAGAATTCCCACTTCAGAGAGCCATAATGTATCTTCTTCCTGGGCTTAGCAACCATAAGCATAATCTATATTTTTAACTTTTTTGCCCCTCTGCTCTCTGTGTGGCAATCTGGAGTTACTTCAGACTCCCTTCTGCTTCTCACTCCAGTTCCAACATTGACCCTAAGGAGCCAAAGTGAAGACTTAGTTCACTTTGCTTGGCAGTAATTCCTAGGGTTTTGACCTGGCAGCAGGCACTGGGAGCTGCCAGTGTTTCCAGTGTAAGAAGGGGATGAGAAGGGTGACAGGTCATACAGTGCCAGAATGTAGTGCTTAATCCACCACCCTGACAACTCCTTCAGGGTCCCATCTATTACAGTGTTTTGCATTTATTGACCAAGTGTTTTGAGTTAAGTGCATCTCCAGAGCTATTCTTACCTCTGCAGTGGTTTTTCTCTGCTCTTCGTTTATTCATCAGCTGGATCTCATCTGTTTTTAAGAATTCCTCAGTATTTTTGGTGTGGTAATGGCATCCTTTCTTGTTTTCAAAAATAACTTCAATTACACCAAACTTCTATCAGTAGCCCTCCATGTCCAACTGCCTATTTGACATTACTACTTAGACATCTTAAACACACCCATAACTTATTAAAAAGAGAATTTATGATCTTTCCCTCAAACAAGGTTTTTTCAGTGAATGCTACCACCTTATACTCAGTTATGCAAGCCAGAAACACGTGTCATCTTTGATACCTCCATCTTCTTCACTCTTCATTTGCCAAATTCTGTCAATTTCATTTCCCACAACAGCCATAAGATATGCCCACTTCTTTCCATTTCCAATATCATCCCATAGTACAAAGAGCCATCATTCCTCCCCTTAACTACTACGATAGCCTCCCAACTGGTCTATTTACATCTACTCCTACTTTTTTCCATACTGTAGCTAATACGATCATATCATTCTATATTTAAAAAACTTCAGTGGCTTCCTGCTGCTCCAAAGATAAACATCAGTATCTTTGGCATGGCCTATAAGGCTATGCAAAGCCTCAGTTTGTCCAACCCTGTCTTATTATCACACTTCCTCCTCTCTACTTCAGCCACACTGGCCTTCTTTCAGTTCACTGAACACAAAATGCTCAGTCCGACGTTAGGGTCTTTGCACATGCTGTTCCTTCTGCCTGGATTTCTCTTTATTCACCTCTCTTTATAGTTCAGCTCTTCTTTTTTTTCAGATCTCAATTAAATTGCCATTCCCTCATGGAAGTCTTCCCTAATCTCTTCAAATAAATTCAGTTACACTCAAGTTAACCTCACTTTTGTAGCACTTATCGCAACTATAATTTACTGGTGTGTGCTTGAAGGCTTTGAGGATGAAGTCTACAGCACAGGCCGAAGGATTCAACTTGGACCAGGAGAAAGACATCTCTTCCACTGAGATGGGAAGATAAGGCAGAGATACAAATGGATGCTTATGTTTGTAAGAAAGCAAGTTGAAGAAGTTCACATTGCCAGTCTTACCTGATACTCGTTCACTATTTGATAAACTACTATCAACCTGGAGGTCATCTGTCACTGACTCCTATGTGAAATAAGAATTAAAGATATAACACCAATTATGAGATGGAATATTTTTATATTATAATATTATAACACATTGATTTGGTTATTTCAAAAATGCAAAACTAATATCAACTTTGTATGTCAGTTTCATATGTAATACATTCTTTCAGCTTATTGATACAGATGTAGTCTTATATTTAATATTAAATCTTAAAATATAATATTATGGACATATCTAGGGAGTCAACAATATACTAGTCAACTAACTATTGTGGGATAAACCAGCAACTAGAAAATAAAGATGAATATTTTTCTGACACTGTAAGTAGGAAAGAATTTTTCCCTCTAAATATGAAAGCAAAATAAATCCAAAGAAAATGATTGATAAATAAGTCTAAAATACCAAAAATAAAATTAAAGGCAAACAAATGTGGAAATATTTGTAACGTGTGTGTAAAAGTACAACAATCTTCAATATATAATGAATAAGTATTTCACCAAAATATCACACAAATGGCCAATAAAATGAGAAAAAATATCAACCTTACTAGCATTCAAAGAAATGGAAAGTAAAACAACATGCTACTTTTCATCTATTAAATATCTATCTATCGATCGATAAGTAGATAGATATTTTAAGTTTCAGATAAGATGGTGCCAACTGGCCAACATGAATCAAAACTTTAAATATAATCCAACCCTTGACCCACTGCAACGTATTTGTCTTAGGATATCAATCTGAGGTACACACAAAAAATTTCTGTGGTAGGCTATCTACTGATATCTAAAAACCTTATATCTACTGATATCAGCAAAACCTTAGAAACAATCTCAATCTCCCAACCACAGAAAAATAGTTATACAAATTATAGTATACCTATGTATAAGACAAAGCACTATGCAGACACTAAAAACCATATTTTTGAAGATTACTTAATGTTAGAGGAATTTACACAATAAGTTAATTTGTAAAAAAAATTTTAAAGGCACAGAAAAAAGGAATGGAAGGAAAAGTACAAAACTTAAAAGAAACTGATTAAACATTTTTTTGCATAGTCTGAATAATCTATTAGGGACACTTAACACTGTTAAAATCTGGGGAAAAGCCTTTTTTAAAAAAATGCCTTTTGTTAAAACTGCCCTCCCCCAGAATACATGTCAAAGAGAAATACGCAAGCTAAAATGCTGGACTGTGACTATCCAATTTAATGCTAACGTCAGATGAGTCACAAGCAATTTTTAAAATCTGAATTTCTCCAAACTACTGCTACACATGTTTAAAATACTGTACAGAATCCACATTAAATACAGTAGATCAGGAAGTTATATAATATTCTAATGATAATGAATCCTCTGTTTCTAACTATTAATGCAAAGTCAAATGAGAAAACATGAAAATGGCTTTGAAATGTTTAAGTGCTACCAAACATTAGAGAATTACTAAGAAACACTTTATATCTGTCACACAGAAAATTAGCCAGTAATGAATATTTCTTCAATTTTTGTCAAAGGAAAGAAAAAACAAAAATGCATGGCTATGAGTCTACCAGAATCATTAATTCAAGGCCCTGTCTGAAGATACAGCATCAATGTTTATAAAAACACTAGAAAGCTATGTAGTCTCTATAAAACAAAGACCATATTATATTTTCATATAAGACCAGAGGTACATCAGGCACCACTGGTCTCTACCCTAAGCTTATCCAAGGACCATAGCAGAAACATACATACACTCAATGGAGCAATCTTCTCATCCTGGGCTTCTTCACTAGTGCTATTTTCATGCAGGCTTTTCTCTCCTGTACCTCTTAACTGAGTGCTAACAAAAAACAACACAATTAGTTTGCACCGTCTGGACTTGGCTCTACATGTCCCTGATCACTATTCACACTGTTATAATCTGAAAAGCTCTGTGGGAACATAATTAACAAGAAGTAAGGAACACAGTAGGTGAATTGTATCAATAACCAATTGATGCCACGAATGCTTTCCCAGAGGTTTTCTCTCACTTGCTTTTAGGCAACTTGGTAAAACTTTTTTTTTTTTTTTTTTTTAATATATCTTTTTCCTAAGTCAAATTTCTGGCTCTATGTTCAGAGAACAGCGAAATCAGAGCACACTATTTTCTTCACTGACTCTTACAATGAGAGGCTATTAGGAGAAAATCAGGATTGAAATTTTGAGGTGGCCAGAGGCATGGGGCTGTTACTTGTGGATACGCACCTCGGTGGCCCAGAGCTGCTACCTCCCAGCCGACTCCGCTCTGATTTCTCTGTGATTCTCTGCAAACTGCGCGTTTTGCCACTTCTTTTCAGGCCTAAGAGAGGATGACATGCTTCAGGGAAAAAGCCTTGGAGGCCTGCCCGCGGGCCTCGGAGGTCCCTGGGGCTTAGGCCCAGCCCACCCCGTGTCCCACTCCGTAGGCCAGCCACACGGCGCTTACAGTGGGCAGACAGCTTCCGGCCGGGCCCTGACGGGGCCTCCGCCTTAGCCAGGGCACCTAGATCTGGCGTTGGGGTTAGGTTGAGCCTATGGCTGGCCCGCTTTTTGCGTGTACAGACCCGTAGTGACCACATTGCCACCCCACCGCCAGGCCTCGGAGGGCTCTTGGTCCTCGAAGGCCTGTCTCGTCTTCTTCCTGAGGAACCGAGCTACGCCGGAGGGAACCAGCGTTCAGGCCTGGCCTGCGGGGCAGCCCGAGAGGAATGAAAGAGGTGAGAAAAAAACAACAGGCCCACAGCGCCAACCCCCACACTGGTCTGGAAACGCCGCCTCACTCCCGCCTTTTTATCTCCGAGGAGTCACGCGGTGGCTTCTGGGAAGACACAGTAAAGTGGCAGTGCCCCGCCCTCCTGGAGGCGTAGCGCCAGGGAACTTGGTGGTGGACGGGGGGGCCTGGACCTTGGACTCTAGGCACAGGCTCCCTCGCCTCGTGCTGAAGGGAAAATTAATGGAAAAAGACTTTTCATCGTCCAGGAGGTTGCTCTTTTGCTTTTCATTTTCTCATTAGTCTGATGGGCCCAACACCTGGTACTGATGGCTGGGCCGCTCTCCTTAGCAACATTACCAGGAAGGCCATGGTAATGGAGTTTGAAGTCTCTTAGCACATGGAGTCTAGCTGGGGGTCAGCCTGACTCAGTGCAGGAAGGTCAGAGAGGAATGAAAGCACGTTATGGTGACGGGGAGTGTCCTCCTGAGTGTCCACTGGCCTTCAGTGCCTGGGGCCGCCAATTTACTGGGGGCGGGCATGGTACTTGAGAGTCTAACCAGGCATTAGAAGAGCTTAGGTTCCAGGAGGTTTCTTCTCAGGGACAAGCAGAATCCCTTAGCCCCTGCCTAGAAGCTACCTCCTGGACATCTCTGGGCAGCCTTGTGGTTAAGGTAGTGAGCTCCACAAGGGAGGCCCTCCTAGTGCCCTGAGGCTCAGCTCTTTTGCTCTGCCCAAAGGAAGTAACATAGGAATGACCACTCATTCTCTCCATACACCCAGGTTGAACCATCTGGCTGCATCTGATAAACATATTGTGCCTATAATAACCATCTTCTTATTTAAAAAAAATGTCATTTCACAACATTAAAAAATGCTGTTTGTACAGATGAAATTAGAAAAACACAAAGACTTTTTCTGTGATGCTCCAATATTGTCTGTAAATATAGCACACATATAGCCACCATATTTTCATAATAAAATCACTGAATTTTTTATTCAAAATCTGCTCATAGAAAGTCACTTATTAATAATTAAAACAATCACTAATTAATCATTAGACTTAACTTTGTAAAGAACAGAGGGTAGGCATTCTTACCTGATTAGATATAGTGCTTTGAGTCACTGAATCACTACTTACTTAGCACCTTACTCTGTGTTAGGCATTGTGGTAGGTCCTGGGGATACAGAAGTGAATTAGAAATGGTTCTTCAATCAAGAATCTCACAGTTTTTTTGCAGTATAAAGCAGTTATCGTATTTCAACATCTTCTCTTTAGTCACATCCATAATATGCTGACAGGCAGTCTCTAGTTTACAAGCCAGGTCTCCAGGCTCCCTTCTTGCCCTTTGGAGAATGTTGTGAAAAAAAAAACTTGGAGCTCTTAAATGACCTTTGGGAGGTATAGATCCTGGGATGCCCTAGACCTAGAAATGGAAGAAACATTGAAAAAGGAAAACAGCTTAAAGCAAAAGTTGATCTGCCCTTTGGTGGCCCTATTCTCTAGAACTGTCTCTCTATAGTGAATTACATTCACTGAAGTGCCATCAAGTCAAGGTTTATGGGAGTTAATTGCCTAGGGTTTCAAAACTGGAAATAACCTTTGGTGTGATTCCTTGAGCCAAAAGGGTCCTTAGAGATGATCTTGCTGTCCCCTCAATTCGAAGCTGAGCAAACCACAACGTAGGAGGCTCATTATGACAGGTGGTTGACCTAGGTGGCATGGATCTCCTGACATTTGGCTAGTGTGCTTGCCATGCTCCCACTCCTCCTAACACATGGCTGGAAAAGGGACGGGGGGAACAAGGAAAAGAGCTCGAAGCCCTAAGTAGCAAGGGGAGGGGAAGGGACTACATACAGACTTGCAATTTAAAGTTTCACCTACCCAGCCCATAAAAGGGGAATGAAATGTGTCCCCTACAAAAGGGTGAGGTAGGGCAGAGATATCTCAACTCAATCACCTGTCTCCCTCCACTCCGTCCTCAAATACACAAATGCCAGTGCAAGCATTCAGCCATGAGTGTTAAACTGAACATCTTCCATTTCCCTGTTGTATTGCTTCCATATCTACACTCAGAATTCTTTCAGTGTTTCAGTTCAGTCATGTGGTTTTGACTAGATTGGAACAGTCATGGAGATGCTAACTTCCATGGGAAAAGAAAATCCAAATTTTTAATAGATTGCTGAAGAAAGCTTTTGGGAAAACCGCCAGTTCATGGGTTTAGGATTCCCTGGAGCCGAGAGGAAATCTTTCTGAATACCGTTTTCTTATCAAGTGACTCCCCCACCCCCCAGCCCCAAGAGGCTTCATTTGTGGCACCATCCACAGGCTTTAGGGTCCAACTGAAAATCGGCTTATTTTTGCTTAGTTGACAGGATTGGGGAAAAAATAACAGTGATAGATGAAAAGTATCTTTAGGTATTGCAGTCTTAATGCTATGCAACATATGTAAAAGGGCCAAGGGGATTATAGACATTTCTTGAGCATCCACTATGGGCCAGACCTTCTGCAGCCCCAGGCAACTCACAGTCTTAGTGAGAGTGGGGCAAAGGGACAATCAACCATGCAACCATGTGGGAAGCTTCTTAGAGAAAAAGATAGTTGAACTGAGTTTTAAGATATGAATGATAGGAATTAGGGGGATTAAAGGAAAGGGTATTCTATGAAAAGGGGACCTAAAAGCATGATGCTTTTAGGGCACTGCAAAAAGTAGTTGGTATGATTGAAGCCAATACTCTATGGAGGAAGGGCTGGAGAAGAGATGCTGGGCCTTGTGTGCTGAAGCAGGGAGTCTGAACTTTATCCTGGATACTGTGGAATAATAAGCAGGAGAGTGGCACGACCAGATTTTCAATTTAGAAAGATCCCCCTGACTGAAATGTGGATAGTGAAATTTGAGGAAGCTGGGGTGGAAACAGGAAGACTAATTTTAAAAGCAGTGTAATATTCCAGACAAGAGAAGAGAGTGGCCCCAACTACACTAAAAGCTGTGAAAATAGAGAGGAGTAGATGGTAGCAAATATATGGCAGAATCTGCATAATTTAGACATGGCAGAATGTACAATTTTAAGAAAGTGTACCGCTGTGTATGGGTAAAAGATATTATGGAAATACTGTTTAAGGACCATCATGATGGAAAATTTGAATACAATTTTTTGTTCTTTTAAAAATATAAAAATGAAGTAAATACAGGACACATTTGGTAATAGCAAATGTGCAAGGAAAAGGATAGGTTCTCTGGGGGGGCCATAAGTGTTTAGAGTTTGGGGACCCTTATAGAGGACGTAGAGTATGCTGACTAGTGATACAGCTTGATACAGTGTTTACCATAAGCACTATGATCTATGATCACCAAGTATACTAACATCAGGGGATTATGCTAAATAAATATTATAAAATAGTAATTATAAGCAACTTTGAGAAACAAAAAATCTTTATTTTTTACAAATGTTTTCATAAATGCATTTTATATTTGATATGCATGCTACTATAACAAAGCAACTAAAAATATAATTACAGTTAAAATAACTTTATGCATATTTAAAAGGTAATTTTTTAATCTCCTCAATTTTTAAAAATTGAAAGTAGAATAAGCAGTTCTTGCAAAAATATCCATTGCCCTCCATGCAATTTTTGCAATGACTTAACAAGGAAAATAAAAATAATCAGTCAAATGAATGCTTAAAAGCCACTGTCACCTCATGAAAACCTTTTGTTTGGGACCAAGTTTAGAAATGCTCGTGTTCCAGGTAGTATATATCTATTGCCTCTGGGTTATAACCATTCATGTGTTCTAACTGAAGAGTTTCTCATTAGGGCTTTGTCCTCACGTGAATGCTAATTCCATTCTTACTGCAGTTAACTGTAGATTCACAGAAAGGACTGTGTAGCATACTTGAGAGAAAATTCAGACTACCAGGATCATTTTTTCTTTTCATGTATATGCTTCCTTAAAATAGAAATAGGCAAGAAAATACAGCAACTTAGCTCATATAGTTTATCAATTTTATATATGATTTTCCATTCTTTTTTTCCTGAGATATGAAGCAAGTTTGTAAGTGGTCTGTTTTCATGCAAAAATACATTTTTCCATTCTTTACATTCATTTCACAGTATTTTGTATTCTAAGTAACTATATCACATTTGTGCTTTATACATTTGGAAAATAAAGAATAATTCATTCCCTTTACTGCAGAAAAATAAAAGATCAGAGGTTCTTTGATGGGTAATACAATCAAATTAAGTGCTGACTTCAAGTTGCTAAAACATTACCTGACTATAAAAATTGCAATGAAATAATCCTATTTTTTCTCATGCTTGCAGTTTTACCTAAATTTAGAACGAAAGGTTGACTTACTCATGTGAGGGAGACTAGGTATGTTTATTCCTTAGACTCCTGAGTTCGTGAGTTCCTAATATGTGAAGCTAGGCCTGCACATACCTGGTCAGTTTCCTCTCTCACCTGGAGGAGAATCACAATACAAAGATGTCTTTTATGGCAAAAGGAAAAAAAAATTGGTGTATATTCTATTTTATATCTTTATAGACAACAAGATTAGTTTGTAAAATGTAAGAATTACTAACACATTTAAATGAGAAAGAGATAAAAGGCCAAACATTTAAGAACATGTTTATGTTACGTAATTGATCTCCGTTATACCTCTAGACTTAAATCGGATCTGATGTCCACTATGAATGTAAATGTCTTAAGTACATAGCCTTTTTCTACATTGGTTAAAGAGAAATACAAACTTTTCCCCCCTCAAAATAAAGTTGGGAAATCTGAAGTAAGAAGGATTTTTTTTCCATTAACACATATTGTTTCATTTCTCCTTTATTAAAAAATTCAGTAAAGTTAAACAGTGGAAAAAATAAATGTACAAGCAATATATTTAGGGCCCACTGTTTACTGTTCTCAGCACATCTGCCAGAACCTATTTATATGCCCAAGTGTGACAATTTTCACAGGAATCAGGAAGGCGAATAGAAACATAAGATCTTTAAAGTGAGAAAGAGAAGAAATCTTAAGTTATCCATAATCAATTATCTCTAACTATTATTAGGTATAAATGTAATCAAAATAAATTTTAAATTATTTGCTTATAATTTCATTGTCTAAAATTGTTTGGAAACAAAGACAAATATGAAATTTAGTTGAGCAGAAGGACAATGGGAAAGAGGTTCATTTTCCTCAAGATGTGAAGCTACTTGCCTTTAAAATAATACAAATATCCAATTCAGGTAATGATTTTCTCTTTTAATTAGTCAAATATATATTAAATATAAAAAAATTAATGCTATGTATAATAGATGTGGCCTTGGACATTTTTAATATTTGTTTATTTAGAAATGCCTTTAAAAATTAATGTGCACAGAACTAGGTCATCTACTAAAAGTCAAATTTATAAGTGCAAGTAGTGGGACTGCAGAGAGAATCCAGCAAAGGAATATGTAAAAGATTGGATAAATACATCAAATGAAGCTGTGGTCGTCCACTTTTGTGAAGACTGAAATATAAGTGTATAATCACTGGTGCAGATTCATCTAGTGAGCCTGTGTGATTATGCAGTTTCTAACCGACAGCATTTATTGACAGTTTGGATTTGCTCCAGGGGTAAGGAGCTTCTGGACTGTGAATACTGCCCCCATCTCTGCTTTCAGAGTCCTGTCTCTACAGAAGAAAACACTTTCCTAGGGACAGTTTCTTCTGTAGATGCAGTCTGTAGCTTGGAACCTAACTGCTGTCCATGCTGGGCTTTAATTATACGACATTGTTGGCACCCAGGTGCAAGAAGTATTTAAATACATAACGCCAAGAAAGGAGGTTTTCATGGGTAAGCTTAGAAGGGTTTAGAGATTCTATGCATGAAATTATTTCCCAAGGAGATATTTATCTATGATGGACGTAAACAGTTTTCTAGGGGTATTTTGAAGAGGTTCTTCAAACTTACGTTGTTGAAAAATTATTTCATTTGGAAATAACATCCCCCCCTCCCTACATCCTGCCGTGATAATCTCTTACTGGAAGAAAGTGAAGCTGTTCAGAATTATTGCCATATGGGTTTCCCAGGCCTGGCATGGACACATTGAGAATGGAAAGACTGGAAGAACCCAGCAAGGAACATCAGTACATTAATTGCTGCCCACCCTGAGAAATAATTCTGGGTTTCTTCTCCCAAGTCTTCCCTAAAGGTCCATTCATTGCAGAGCAGAGTCAAACAGACATCTTTTATAATTCATGTGGTAAGACATCCATGAATATACACATACTATCCTTGAAGTAGTTGTACATTACATTTTTTTCTAGGTAGCTCCTTAATATTTGAATGAGCTTAATAAATAAGAAAATGTATTGAAAGATCTTTGTAAAATGTTATGTAAATACATTTGTTTTAAGAATACTTGAATTTGCATTCTTCATAAATAAAAGTAAAAATTGGAGAGAAAATTTTTTCACATCAATGAGGATTGTTATGTTTAAAGAATCTGAAGTTATGTAGAATGTGAGCTATCATGTTTTGTTTCAGAATTATTCTGTATTAGTTTTAATTTTTTAAGTCTGATTTAATTGTGATTTTGACCATCAGTTATTGAATGAGGTAGTCCACATTGCCTAGATATTTGCTGTACCTGGTTACTATTCCACAAATAATTAAGTACAATATATCAGTTATGTTTTTCCTTTATGTTTAATAGAAGTTCTGTGAACACTGAGAATATATTACTTTTAGTGGTACACAGTTCTTGAGAAAAGTCTTGATTTTTACAATGCCATTTCTGATATTTTTAGCAGCTTACTACAATATCATTGTAATAAAAATAAAGTATACTCGGTGATGAGAGAGAAAATATTGTTAAAGACCTCTTGGGACAGGAAGAGGCTCAGTCATAAGGTCACGTGCTTTTCATTTTCAGCTGCATCATTCTGACACATTACTTTCAAAAAATAACTATAATATTGCTACATTGTCCATTATACTGAGAAGAACTTCCCTTGAACTTCACATGGAGATTGAGTAAAGCTCTTCTATTTGTTTTTTGAAGTACTCTCTCAGCTCAGGTCTCTTAGCCTTTAGTGTTGGTGTCAGCAAGCCATTTTGAACTGAGAACATATCAGAGTGGATGTGAATGGCTTTAACCTAAAAACCAAATGCAGAATACAGCTTTATCAGGAATATAACACAGCATTCATAGCATACATGATAAAAGTAGACAGGCATATGGGAATAGAAATATTGATATAAAAACACTATGCCTATTTAAAAGTCAGAGTTATCCTAATAACATTTCAGCCTATTTGATATGTCTGAAAGCCACCTTTTTTCCTTCTTACTCCTCCATTTAGCCAGTCAACAGAAATGAGTTAGTTCCTTACTCTGTGCCAGGCACGGAGGACACAAAGGGGGATCATGAGCACCCCTGCCCTCGGGGAGTGCACACTGGAATCCAGTAGAGCAGACACACTGGGTAATTATTAGACAATGCGGTCTACACAGGATGAAGGGCACCTAACTCAGTTATGGCAGGGAAGAGAGAGGAGCAGTCAGGGAAGCCTTCTCAAATCAGGTGAGTGTTAAAGGACGAGTAAGAGTTAACCAGCAAAGGAGGAGAGGTGGGTGGAGAAGGGCATTTCCAGGCAGAGGCAACCCTATGAACAAAGCTACGGGAGTGAGAAATGGCAGAGTATGAAAAAGGAAATCCAAGTGATTTCTGTTGTAGTTACATAAAGTAGGAGGCGAAGTGGGTGAGAGATGAAGCTGAAGTGGTAGATGGGGCAGTTTATAGAGGAAAACAGTAGGAGATTTTTATACAGGGCAATGACATGGCTGAATATACAATTTATAAAGATCTCTCCAAGAGAAATGTGAAGATGGCTTTTAAGAATGTTAAGATTAGAAGCAGGGAAACCAATCAGAAGGACCTGACCAATCCACAGGAGAGAAGAAGATAAGGGCCTGCACCTACAGAAGTGGCAGAGACAGAGACAAGTAAGCAGTTCTAAGAGCGATTTAGAGATAAATGGGCAGGATGTAATAAAGAAGGAGGCAGCCTTGAGGACTTCCAGGTTTCCAGCTTGGAGGGCTGCATGGACAGTGGTGCCATTCACAGGAGAAATATAAAGTCTAGGCGGGGACATGACGAGTCTGTGTTAAAAAAAAAGTTCTGCCAGAAAATGTGATCACATTATTGGAAGGAGGAATGGAGGGATCAGACTTAGTGTTCGTGTTGCCTATTTCCATGAGGCAGATTCCAGGCCTCCTCATGCAAAGTCTCTTTGCAAGCCTGAATGGGGGACCAGAGAGATAGATGAACTAACCTGGGAGGGCCTGGGCAGTCTCCTCCCACATGAGATTTCAGCTGAAAGGGTGACTGTCAGTTCAACCAGAATTTTATGATCTGGTCTTGAGCTGAATCCTGGAGTGACAATGTCTCTAAGAAATTGTATCCTGACTGACAACTGGGTCTATATTCAATTATTTTGTTGAGACAACAGATCCATATTATTAAATAGCAAATGAACTGCTATATATAGACTTTAAAAAATTAACTCAAAATATATGCGCTAAATACATATATATTTTCACTTGTTGTTTTGCTTAATTGGCATTTATTGAGCAACTACCATGTGTCAGGTATAGTGTAAGGCACCAGGGATACAAAGAAGAACAAGACACAATCTCTGCACACATGGAGCTTACAATCTAACGAGGGATGCTGCAGTATGATAATACTACTATAGGGACGAGCAGTTGTCAGTTGCTTTCCCAGTATCACTCCCTATCTTCCATGCTAATAAAACCCAGGTTTTGTTTGGGGCCAAAATGTTCTATGTAAACTATGACAATCCTATGTCCTGATTTCCCAGGCTCCCTTGCAGCTAAGGTGTAGTCATAAGATCCATCTGTGGCTAGTGAGAAGGGATAGCTTTTGCTTTCCTAATAAAAGGTCCAGACATACCTATTTCTACCCACTCTCTTTTTTTCCTTCCTTGAATATGGACAATGTCCAAAGCTGTAGCAGCCACAGAAAGTGATAAGCCAACATACTAAGAAGGGAGAGTGGAAAGATAGGCAGAGCCTAGGTCTTTGAGAACCTGTACCTGCCTTGGACTGCCTATGTTCGGACTTCTTATGTGAGAACACCAAAAAAACAAACCCTATGTGTTTAAGACCCTGAGGGTTTTCTTTTAGAGCTGAATGCCTTTCTGATATAGCACCTAACCCAGTCTCTGGAGCAGGATTCATTGAAAAGGGATGCTTGAGTTGAACTCTGGAGGATAAGTAGGCTTTGGCCAGATGAAGATAGCAAGGGGAAGGGAGAGGCTGTTATATGGCTCTAGGCAGAGGCAACATGTGCCAAAACACACTTGGGACATCACAAGTATAGGCTGCAGCAGGTGATACAAATAAAGAAGAAGAAAGAGATGGGGTGGGGAGATAGGCTGGGGCCAAATTACAAAGGATCAATATGCCAAGGTAGGGATTTTGGACATAATTCTTTAAACAATTTTTAATCAGTGAGAGACAGTACTAGCATGCATCTTTGGAAAGATTACCCTGTTAAGAGAGGATTAAAATGAGGTAAAAGTGGAAGCTGGAAGACCAGCCAAAAGGCAAGATTGATGGTGATTTAGGCTATAAAGTTGGCTGTGGAGATGGAAATAGATTTGGGGAGTAGTAAGGACAGGACTTACAATTGGTTTGGGTAATTGATAGAGAAAGAGATTTTAAGACGGGCTCTAGATTTCTGCTTGAGCAGAAAAACTGGAGGAGGAGCAGAAAGATTCTTTGGAGGCAGGAAGATCAAGTATTCATGTCAAGTTTGAAATGCTTCTGAGACATCCAAGTGGTTTTTGGACATTGGATATATTAGTATTAGTATGTAGGACACAGCTTCAGCCTGGGCTTGAGAGACAGGAGTTTCTTGAGGAGTAGAAAGGAACGGGGGTGTGGGTTACAGAAGCCAGGAGAACAAGAGTGAAAGGTTACTGTGGCATGTGTTACTGTCATATGAGAATTGTTAATTAAAATCAATGGATACAATCAGGAAATGACTTATTTCAAAAATCAGTCTATGCACCACCTCACACCCATTAGGCTGGCTATTATCCAGAAAACAGAAATAACAAGTGTTGGTGAGGATATAGAGAAACTGGAATATATACCCAAAAGAATTGAAAGCAGGATCTCAAAGAGATATTTGTAAATCCATGTTCATAGCAGCGTTATTCACAATAGCTAAAACAGGGAAGCAACGCAAATGTCCATTAGCAGATGAATGGATAGGCAAAATGTGGCATAGACATACAATGGAATATTATTTATATAAAGTAAGGAAATTCTGACACATGCTACAACATGGATGAACTTTGAGGGCGTTAGGCTAAGTGAAATAAGCCAGTCACAAAAACACAAGTACTTAGAGTAGTCAAAGTCATAGGGACAGAAAGTAAAATGGTGGTTTCTGGAGGCTGGGGGGAGGGCGGGAATTGGGAGTTATTGTTCGAGGGGTACAGAGCTTCATTCTACAAAATGAAGAGTTACAGAGATGGATGGTGGTGATGGTTGTACAACATTATGAATGTATTAATGCCACTGAACTGCACACGTAAAAAATGGTTAAGATGGTAAATTTTATGTTATGTGTATTTAACCACCAAAAATTTAAAAATTGGAAAAAATCAATGTATGCAAATAGTCGCAAAAAATTCAACATGTCAGTGATTGTTTTCCAAATCTCTGATGCTAACGGTCTAGTGTCCTGGCAGGTGGGTATTATAATATGACAAAGAAGTCTTTCCTCAGAAAATTCTCCATTGCATTCACTGATTTTTCAGATCAAAGACTCAATATACAAAGAAGACCCCTAAAACAGCTACACTTTCTACTTCTTAAAAAGTTTTTAAGAAAAATTCTGGCATTTTTTAAACCCATGCTTGTAATTTTAAAATGTGATAATTTTCAAATGAGCACAGCATTAATAAATGAGATTCATCTTTGTCTCTTTAGAAATTTGTTCAAATGAAGGATTCACTTTTGCTATAAAAAGAATAGCATTTTAAGGGATTCGTGTGTGGTGGGAAGGGGAGGACTGGACTTTAGGCTAAAATTAAAGCTAGCATTACAGGTAGCTGCCTCAACTTTACCTTACATACTGAAAGGATTTCTACTTGGATATCCAGTATAAATAACTGGAAATCTGAGGCTCTTGGCTAAAAAGAGGCATTATCGAATGTTTCAAAATTTGTTAAGGTTCTTGTAAAAAGTGTTTTGTTTGAAAATTCTCTCAACTCCAATATAAAATAAAAATTTTCTGCATTTTTTTCATGGCAAAATAAAAAAAATTAAAAAAAAAATTCTCTCAGTGTTTTTGATGCTCAAAGAAGCAAGGATTTGGTAAGGAATAGGGCTGCCAGTTTTTGTACCCTCTGGAATATACTTTTTTCCTAATTTGTTTTGATCAAACATAAATCATCCTAGGGGATCCAAAATTCACTGGAAACAGGTCCCAAGGGAGACGTTTTCAGACCATAGTGCACTGAGAGCTAGGGGTTCTGCAGTGGCCTCTGCTGGGCAGGGGTATAGAGGTGGAGATGGGCGTGAAGGTGGAGTGTAGACAGACACGGGTGGGATGAGGTGGGGGAGAGGCAAAAGTGCATTGGAGGCGGGGTGGGGGAGGGATGAGTGAGGGGGCTGGGTTGAGGGGTGGGAGGTGGAAGACAGGCTCTGGCTCAAGCCCCAAACCTACCAGAGCAGCACTGCTCTTATGTTTTGTACGTGCTCATAAGGTGCATATAAGATGTCATCTAAGTTCTGCTACTCAAGTTCAGAAATCACCATTTGATAACAAAACTAGCTAGCTTGAAGAAAATATGAACAAAATCCAAATCAAACTTAATCCTAGATACAGTGATTTAACTTAGTAATTCATGTTTACCTCCATGAAATGAAAAACTGGCAGTGCTAATATCCTTAATTTTTTTTTTAAAGTTCCTTTCTGATAGAAACAGTATCACATAAAGACTTCTGGCAAGTGTAAACGATCTATCCACCTTCTTCTGTAAATGAAATTAATAATATAATTTTATAGGAGATGCCAATGCCAAGATACAATTTCTACAAGTGTCCTGGCAGCCTGGGTTTCAGCTCATCTGCATTCCTAACAGCATGTGGAGAACATGTGTAATTGAGACAAGAGTCTATGTTCAGTACAGGGACTTGGGAGAACACCTCTGAAAATACAGCAGTGACAAGCAGAAGCTTCAAACAATACAGCACAGGGAAGATGACTCTCATAGGGAGAGCTACATACACTATTTAGATGGTAAGTAGAATGTAAAAGAAAACACTATGATCTTAGGAAGAAAGAACTGCATCTGCTGGTAGATTTTGAGTATCTGTCAAACCAGCAACCTGTAGCAGGCCTAAAGTGCTGACTGGGGCATCTGCAGTTCAATGTGGCTCTCTACAACATAGTCTCTGCCTGAGGAGAGGAAACACAATTAAATACAGTGTTGAGGGAAGCCGAGTAATATGGCACTCAGCTCACCTTTCAGCCACTTAGTGAGCAGATCAGAGTGGCACTACTGCCAGTCCCTGCTCCAGTCTGACCTACAGCCCTGGGTCTATTTAAATTCTTCCATGAAAATACCTATACAAATTGCGCCAGTGACTAAAAGTCTAATCAGTAAGTGGGAAAAAATGAGTCAAAACAGTTCTTTAACTGACCTTAACTGTGGGCCCCAAACCTATAGTTAGTTTATTTTCAGAAGTAAACCAATGGTAAAACGAATTTTCATTTTTTATAAATAATTACATATTTTCTAATAAAACCAAACTGTTGAATTATGGGGGGGGGGGAAGGAACGAGAGTCTTTAGTCTCCCTTTATGCCTAACACAACATAAAACTTGTTTTCCAGTTTGCAATAAGCAAAGTTTTTGTTGAGGAAAGAAGGAAGGAGATGCTTAATGTTACCTCCCTTTCTGAAACTACACTCTTGTCACGGAAAAGTGATTCTATAGTTTTTTTTTAATTTAAAGATACTATAACATTTAAATATTATATTGGAATATAATGCCTCAAAAATGTCAATGTATGCCAACTCATTAAAGCATAGAAATTTTCATAATTCTGAAAAAAAAAACTATTTAAAATCTTTCAATGGTATTACTCTGTGAAACACTTTAACACACAATATTGCTTGTAGCTAATAAACACAGAGTGAATAATTTAGGACAAGAGAAATTTTAAAATTTTAAATTAGGGAAATGTTCAATTCATTTCTGATTTAAAGGTAAATTGATTAGGTAAGTATTCATTTCAATGACAAGAAATACAGTAAAATATATTTAGCAAGGGCTTTGCAGTCCAAATTTGAAAACTGTCAAGTTTCAAAGTTCACTTTGTATTTTATACGCCTATGCAAACTAATAAGGCATAGAAATGTCAAAAAAAAAAAAGGTTAAATCACAGTTAAGTATGCTCAGATACTTCCCAAGAACCTACATATTTTAATTATTGATAACAGTTATTTTAAATGCTTCTTATCTACTCATTAAATCTCCATAAATTGATAATGGTTGGCCTAGTTCTAGGAATTGTCTGTTTCTGGAAATCAAATTACGTTAATTTTTCATCTAATTCAAAGTTTCACTCAGATCAATGCTGCCCAGTAAGTCTGAACTCCTAAAGCTTCTGTTGAATGATTTAAGCCTTGGGCTTGGATATCTACTGGGGGAGGAGGGGGGGTAAAAAATTAGCATTAAGCCTTAATTGATCATTCCTTTTTGAGGAAAAGGGAAAAGGACTAGCTGACAATAGATTATGGATTAACTCAAGTAATTTATGTTGAGCTTTGGAACACAACTAGGAGCACACACCAACAAAGAGGAGAATGAGAACAGAGAAAATGAAGAGGTAACAGCCTTGGCAATAAAACTCAGGCCTTTGGGATGCCACATGACTTCTCTGTATTTAAGGTTACCATGGCGAGGGCCGAATATTAGAGCAGAAACTTTGCTTAAGGCGTATGGAAAGTCAAGAATACGTCTCCTCTCAGTAAAAGCTCTAACTTGAGCAATGGTTAACACTGGAACCTTAACCAAAGGTTTCTTTTAAACATAAGCTTAAGAGTGGTAGTCTTTTCCAAGGAGAGGACTCTGTTACAATTCTCTACTTGCTCTGAGGCAGATCACGCAGCCCACATCCAGCAGGGGGCATGCAAGCCTTGGGAATCACAAGGGTATCCGCAGGATCCCCAGTGCACCCCCAGCGCCCTTACAGCCATCCATTCAGGTAATAGGGAGCCCAGATCAACCAGGTCTCCAACCACTCATTTGTGGCGCCTGCTCTACAGGATCACATCTACAGTCACACAGCTCCCCGTAATGGAAGAGCAATGAAGTCAGTTTTAGCAAATTTAGAAATTTAATTATCATGCCAGAAATGACCTTGCATTCAGAAAGATAAATATGACTTGCCTGAATGCCTCAGATTTTATAATTTTTAAAAATAAGGATTTATTCATCCAGGCCTTATTTGCCCTAAAACACACTGATGGATGAGGGTAAAGCAGTTTCTCTCAGGCTAGATTAATGTAAAGATCCATTTCAAAAGAAAAACAATTCCCTCAAACCCTGAAACTATATTTAGATTTCCTCACTTTGAAACTTAAGAAATTAAAAGTCTTAATCTGTGGAAATGTTTTCTAATTGTCAAACAACTGCTGTAAGAGTTTATATTTAAAACTGGTTTAAAAATGTTTTTAGGTTAACATCAAAATGAACATATACAAAGGGGCTTCCCTGGTGGTGCAGTAGTTGAGAATCTGCCTGCCAATGCAGGAGACACGGGTTCAAGCCCTGGTCCGGGAAGATCCCACGTGCAGTGGAGCAACTAAGCCCGTGAGCCACAACTACTGAGCCCGTGTGCCACAACTACTGAAGCCCAAGTGCCCCAGAGCCCATGCTCTGCAACAAGAGAAGCCACCGCAGTGAGAAGCCCGCGCACCACAACAAAGAGTAGCTCCCGCTCACCGCAACTAGAGAAAGCCCGTGCGCAGCAACGAAGACCCAACACAGCCAAAAATAAATAAAAAAAAAAATTTATATTAAAATAAAAGAACAGATAAAATTTAAACTTCTCATAAACCTTGCAGATCCTTAATACTATATTTGGGGACACTGTTGGAGAACCATTTTATGAAAAACAATTATATTAAATACATACTAAGAAATTTTTAAAAATCAGCCTATTAATATTTTTCTGTTTGAAGAATTTTTCTTTTTGAATTTGTGACTAAAGAGGATTATAAATGGCATGTGTAAGTAGGACCAAGTACGCTTATGAACTCAGTTACAAAAAAGAACCCCAACCTTGCAAAGACGGAAAGTCTTAGAGGTCTGCTGTGTCCACTCCCAACACACTCTTTGTTTCCTCCTCTTTGTTCAGGGCATGCTGGGCTGACAGATCAGTGGCCCCAGGAGTGCAATCTTTCTGATGTCCTAGCAAGTAAGCTTGCCTGCTGCAGCCAAGAAGACAGTCCCCATAAAAATAAAAATAAGACAGGAGTCTGGTCTTGAGTACTGCACGCAGCTTGGAGACACACCATGTAGACATGCTGTACCAGTTATGGCTAGGGTAATATTTCAGCTTTATGAACATCTGTGATTATGAGGACAATAAGCACAGTCTCACTCAGCCTACGACCGATTTTAGTTAGGATGCAGGCTGTTGCAAAGTCAGCTTAGAACAGGCCTTCAGGGGTCCGTTAGTACACTGCCTGTCTGCAGGCCACAGCATGGAAGATAGGGAATCTAGGTCAGGGTCACTGTTGGTTACTTTAATTCTCATCCCTGCATAAAGGGCAGTAACAAGTATGGAGAAGGTAACAGTTACCTGTTCAAAAGAATGGAGTCCACTTTCTTTTCCTAACCTCACCATATCTTCCAAAATGGCTTTCCTCAGCTCCTGAATTGAACCATATAGGTAAAATTACAAGGCAAAAACACATTTCAAAATGGAGATAGAAGAATCAATGAGTTGTGAGCAAAGTATAACTGGCAATCATACCAACACTCCCCCCACCTTTCAAACCCCCAACTAGGGCTGACGCTCCCTGGCAGAAAGCCAATTACCATCCCTCATCTGGCAAGTAAGTGCCTGCATGGCCTAAGGAGTGTCCAACAACAGGCTAAGGGACCACTCAATTTTGTTTTTTAAAGCAGACCTCTGGTCAGCCTAGTGAGTCTCAGGGGCCCTGTCACCCCCAGAAGAGCCCAGGGCCTGGTGGGAGCTCTAGGGTTCATGGCTGCTGCTAAGAAACAGATCATGTGACTGAGGGGCCGATGCTGAGTCAGGGCACAGAGATCCTCTGAGTCAGGGCACAGAGATCCTGGCACAGTACATGTGCCAGGAGAAGGCTTCTGGAAGGTGTGAGCGGCAAATGTTCTAAGCAGGGAGAACTGTGCTCCTTTTTCAATTCCATGACTGTCTCTCTAAGCCCAGTAGATATAAAAGCTACCTCACATTAGGAGAGAGCAGGGCCAGTGAGTCAGAAGGCCTATTCTCACATCTGACACTGCTGTTAACCAGCTATGTGGCTTTGGGCAAGACGCCTCCCTCTCTGGACTCTCCTGCAAGCTGCAAAACAACAGGGCTGGACAAACTTTCTCTGATGTCTCCTGGCTGGAAAATTCAATAGTTTATCAAGTGTTCTAAGAAGAGAGATGAGCTCCTTCTACAACAATGACAAAAGACAAACCTCTGGTTTAGGATTCCTACCATTTATAAAATAAAGTTAGAAATTTCCCTATAGGTTCAAATTTCACTTGGGCTACTGTTTTCGTATGTCCTCTCATTATGCAGTATCACAGAAGGTCCAGCAGTCTTTTGGGGAACAGCCCCAAGGTACAGACCTTATTTGTGCAGAGCTCTGCATACGTCCCTTCAATTCCTCTCTTCTGGGCCCAAGAGGGCATGACTTCCGGGTCGGGCACGACTATGCCCACCAAAAAGGCCTGCGATCCCACCAAAGGAAAACACAGTTATGACAAAAGCTTTTAAAGTGGTTATTTGCGGTCCAGCATTAAAACTAATCTCTTGGTATTCTCAGACTCCACTCTTTTCCAAAAATATGTATATGTTTATGTTATGAAACATATCACACATTCTTGACAGAAATATTCTTGAATATTTCTGATATATTTCCCTCACTTCGTAAAAAGTTTATTAATAAAAAATAAGCTTAAGAAGATTAGGAATCAGTAAGGTTAGTCCTGTATGTACCTTTGATTCTCATGCCAATCTTAAATGAGTACATCTTTAGGATACTAATCAACCAGCTCTACAATCCAAAACACATACATTTCTAAGGATTTCCAGACCATTTTGAAATTGATTCATTAGTATGGTCCTCATTCTTTAAAAACACCATTTTAATTTTTAAATCATTTTCTTAAAAAATAATTTAATAGTCTTTAATTACATAAATCCAATGATAGCACAGAATATATTCACAGTGATCTTTCTGACTTCAGATCTAAATGATACCAGAAAGCAGAATAAATATAAATCCTCTTCAAATAATTTAATCCTGTACTATATTAGCACATTAGCTTAATATATTAAGATATATCATCAGTATCATTATTTGCAATACTGCACCTATTTATCTGTAAAGTTCTTATGTGTATTTCAAAATCAAAAGAGCAGAAACCCTGAATCTCGCTTCAGCATATTACCTCAAAATTCCTCTTGGAAGTAGACAGAGCATAAGTTAAAAGTAGTGGGAATGTTATTACTACTACTTTAAGCAACTTATTTACCTACCTGCAATTTACCAAACTATAAGCAATTAAGATTTCTCCCTTAGAAAGGCATTTTCTCTCATGATCCTATACGCCAGAGAATACCAGTATCTGATTGGAAATTAATGTTCATCACTTTAATCAAATACCAGTTACTTAGGAAACCATTCCCAGAGTACTCATCAGGCCCAAAGTACGTGTGGGAGGGCTGAGGACTAGGGGACTCACCTTTAAGCTGTCCCCATGGACATACATTTGTGCAACAGGCTCACTCCGGATGTAGATGTTCTCAATCATCTCGGGCGCAATATATTCTCCCTGAGCAAGTTTAAATATGTGCTTCTTCCGATCAATAATTTTAAGAGTTCCAGCCTGTGGAATTGGACAAGCGGCTTCATAAAATGGCGGCATTCCCAAGCCTGAGCCCCTCACTCATTAGTGCCATAGCCCCTCACCTCTCCAACGCCCGGTCTCACCCTGCAAGCCCCACCAGATCTGCTCGTTCACCTGACATCTCTGCTCTCATGGAGCCACTGCACGGCTGGAGAGGGACGCCGTGCACAAGGGTGGATGGCTCCCAAGCTCTGCTGGGCCCTGAGTGCCCACTGTCCTGTACCCTCACCATGTGCCCTACTCCCCCTCCCACCCCTGCCACCCTGGTGCCCAGCAACAGGTGCCCTCCTCCTCAGGAGGCCACCCACCTTCCCATCAGGGCTCCTCTCACCCAGGCCCTCGCTCCAGCTGTCGCTTTTCTCAGCAGCATCTTCAGATTCTCCCCCTTGAACCATGCTTAGGCCACCACTCCCAAAGAGCAGCCTCTCCATCCTTCAGCACATAGCACAGCTCTGGCAGAGGACCCCAGGTGGCATTAGGAGCCCTCTCCCTCCAGGACCTCTGCAGCAGGCAGGCCACCCCTTGGGCAGTGAGTGCTTGTACCCCTGGCCTCCAGGAACCCCACTCACCTCCCTGACTCCCTTCAAAACTTTTTGAATTTCCAAGGTGAATAGGTGGGTCTCTCTCCTTTGGCTCTCTCCTTGAATGTTTGCAACTTCCTCACCTTCACTGACGATGCTCCTTGAGGTGACCACCATTTATCTCCTAAGTGGACACTCCTGCATATGTCTGAGCTTCCAGCCAGAGCTCTTCACCGAGTTCCAGACCCAGAACCTCACTATCCTCCAAACTCTACAAAAACCAGGCCCTTTTCCCTGCACGATGCAACATGCCCTAAAGGAAGCTCATCCTTCTCCTCCTCAAGCCTGTCCCATTCCCCAAGCCCCAGACCTGGAGATGGCCTTGCCATTGGCCTCTCCTGGGACTTCCAGCAGTCAGGCTCATCTGTCCTCACTCATAAATCCTTCTCACAGACACCTCCTCCTCCATCAAAACCACTTCCTTACTGAACGTGTGCACACACTCTGGCCCTGCTCTATCTGTTCAATCATCAGAACCAGAGTAGTCTCGCCAGAAGAGAAAAACAAGCAGGCCCTGTTTTGCTCAAAATCCAGGCTGGACATCAGGGCCTTTCCCTACACTGGCTTCTTTGGTCCTCGTGGCACCCCATGAGCTGGGTGTCATCACCTCCATTTCATAAATGGTGAAGGTGAGGATTAGAGAGGTCAGTTAACGCCTCCAAGGCCACACAGCTAGGAGGTGGGAGAACCAGGACTTAAACCAGGTCTTTCTGGATCAGACACTTAGACCTTTTCCTTGATCTATCTAATACTATTTCAAAATAGTAATAATTTTAAAAACTGACTCCCACAGACTGCCTGCCTACTGCCTTGGGCTCTGAGTTCAGGCACAGCACTAGGTGCTTCACATGAATCAATTCACAACACCCTGCAAGGTGGGTGGTTTCATCCAAGTTACAGGGCATCAGTGGCAGATCCAGAGTTTTGTGGGACTTCAAGTTTTTTCCAGTTTTGAGACCCCCACCTTTAAGAAAAATAATATAAAATGAAGTGCAGAGCCTTGAAAGGGGCCTATGCAAGTGAAGGCTGAAGCCTAGGCTTCATTAGCTGATGGGACAATCTACCCTCTGCCAGTGTCCAGGGTCCTGCTGCTTCTCCAGCCTCCCTCCTCCACATCTGTGGGAACCTCAGTTAGAATTCCTTGCCTCACACCTCTAGTGTCTCTCTACTTAGCACATGCTATTACTCCTGCCCTGACTGTCCTTCCCACTCTCCCCTCTCCTCTTGGAACAGGACTTAGATCCTGAGACTCAGAGCCAGTAGGCGCTTGTCCTTCTCCCCTAGGTGAGCATGACCCTCATCTCATGCCCATCACACTGGGTTGGGAACTGTCTAAAGATGTGTCTCTCCCCTGAGCATAGTCCCTGGCCCAGGGATACATCCATGTCTGCTGCAAGAGTGAGGGTGTCTCAAAGTGAAATGCGTAGTTCCAAGCAGGGGCAAATCAGCTCACCAGCCCAGAGGGCCCCTGGAGGGCTTAACATCATTCACCTGTCCAATAAATTCAACATCTCAGAACTCCACCCAAAATCTTAGCAATCTCCCAGAGACACAGGAAAGGTTTCCTGGGGTGGGCTGCTGCAGGTGGAGGCTCTCGGTTTCAGTTACATAGTTCTTTTCTGGTCATAGTTTCCATCTAAGCATCTCCTGGGTGCCAGGTATTGTGCTAAGGGCTTTACAGGTATAATCTCATTTGTTCCTTACAACAACGACCATAGAGGTAAGCAATGTTATCACCTCCATTTTACAAATGACAGAATGAGGCACCACTACTGGTTTTGGCTAAAAGTTGGGGGCCACCGCTAAAGAATGCCATGTAGCCTTACTTTCTTATTCTATAACTGAGTCAATACAGAGCCCCAGAGAGGGATGAAGCTTTGCTCAAGGTCACGAGAGCAGCTGCTAGCAGAGACAAAGGAAAGCCAGCATCCTCCTGCCCAGCTCCAAGCTCTTCACACTGCTCAGTGCCACCTGTCAGCTGGCGGCCAGTGTCCATGGGCTCCCAGGCCCTGCCTTCATCAGATCTCCCAGAGTTACGAGCCCCATGCTCCTTGTACTTCACCCATCGGATTCCAGAACGCTGTCAGATCTCTTCCTGGAAACCTCTTAAGGGTAGGGGGTAGGCCTCAAACTCCAGTTCTACGCTCCCAGAAGATCCCTGTCACCTTCATCAGGAGGATGCAGGAGGAGGCTCTGGGGGCGAGGTAAGGAAGAACCTCCCATTTCCCAGAGGTATTCTGGAATGATTACTTGTCAGGGTGGATATAAAGACTCCTGCCTTGGAGTGAATCAGATTATACACACCCCCACCACCACCATGTGTGGAGGCCCACGGTTCCAAACATACATACTGGCAGCCACTTCCCAATGTCTCCAGTGTGAAGCCAGCCGTCGTCGTCCAGGGCCTCCTTTGTCCTCTCTGGATCTTTCAAGTAACCTTTGAACACATTTGGTCCTCTCACACATATCTGTAGGGACAAATGCCCGGTTTCTCTCAGCCCACAGCATAAGGAATCCTGATATGAGGCTGTCACGAGGCATGGGTAGAAAAATGGACACTTTCCCTCAGGAAATCCACTGTGGAAACTACAGTGATGGAAAGAGAGGATAGGAATAGCCGCCAGCGTTCTCACCTGTCTCCTGCCTTCTCTCAAGCAGTGTCCTCTCCAACTACCTCTCTGCCGCCCCTTCTTCCTCAGGAACACTGCGGCTTTCGGTATGCGCTGCTTTGTGACACTGGATGGGGTCTCATCAGATACTGAAAGCTGGCTGATTCTACCAGAGGTGCTTGAGCCCCCTGCTTCATGACCAGGCACTCAGCTTTCCTATCTACGTTGACTATCCATTAGGAAAACCAGTAATGGGAAGGAAACCTGGTCAAGGAGTATTTCAGAACATAGGGTATTGTTTTCTGTGAAAAATCAGATATCATTAACTGGCTTTCACCTAGTTGACCCAGGAACACTGGCTTTATTAGTCCAAATATTGCTAGAAAGCATGGATTGGATGAAGTTCACTTCCATGTCAACATCACACATATTCTGGTACCGTCAGACACTAATCAAAAAGATAAGTAAACAGATACTGACATAAGCTACTCTTTGGATTGAATAATTACCCAGACATTGGAGTTTTCAGGGTAGAGCTTCCACTCAAGCTATAGCTGACCTGTCCTACTTTACCCAGAACAGGGCTGGAACGTCCAATGAATTATGGAGACAAGGGGGCCCTGAGCAAGGGTTCTACATGTGCATAAAACTTGTGACTATAATAAATCTATTGAGAATCAGAACTCCATGCCTGTTGGTCCTAGACCTGCCTCTTCTGGTTTTCCTTCAGTAAAAATAGTATCCACCTTTTTATTTAACATTAGTAAATTAGTGTGTTTTGGTTTTGTTTGTTTTAGTTTGGCAAAGGCATTACTTGAATTTTTAAAATAGTATATATTCTTTCTCTAGGAAAAAAAGATGCTGCTGTGTCGATATAAAACGTACAGTTGACTAAGTTCGTTTGACTCAGTGGCTGAAACTGTTCTGTAGGAATCAACTGGATATTTATAGCCATGCGTATAGAGGTCACTCTAAATTTATACATTGGTTAGGAAGAAAGTGCTGTGACTCCAAGTTCTGTTTTTGCCACTCAGTGACAACACAGAATTACATCAGAAAAGTAGGAAAGTTGTAATGAAGAAAAGTCATTATACTGTCTCATAGAATGTTTAAACTTTGTAATTCCACTCATCTTAGGGACACTTTCTTCTTGGAAACTATATTAACAAGACAGCCTGCACATCAGCACAATTTTATGAAAATACACAAGAAAGGCTCCTTATACATTTTTCAACACATTTCCTCTAGAGCTCTAGGGTCCTTTCATAGATATTAGTGGAGCCAACGGCTGGGTCTATGTGCACAACCAGTGTGACAACTGGGTTCTCGAGCATTCATTCATCTTAACCATTGGAGTGTGCCACTAAAACCATGATACTGACTGTTGTTTCACTAAATTGACTGCACTTGTTAGGAATGTCAGATAGTTTGTGCATAAGGAAAATTTAAAAATCACTGGCAAGATGGTTCTTAGCAGCTGTACCAATATTTATAGCATTTTTATAATAAAAAATGGGCACAATCAAAATGTCTATTAACATAAAATGGTGAAATAGGTGTGTAAAACATGGTATAATATGCATCAAAAAGCATACAGCCATGAAAATTGATTAGCTATTCATATCTACATGGCTGGACCTCAAAAACTAATGTAGAACAAAAAAAATGCAAGTCACACAAGAATGTATGCAGGAATATCCTATTTATAAAGTTAAAAGCAAGGCAACACAAGACAATTTATTGTTTAAAGTTACCTACATACATGATAGATTACAAAGAAAAACAATACAAAGATTGGTTTAATAAAAGCAGGGTAATACTTAACTAGGGGAATGAAAGTCTGGAGGAGCAAGGGAAGATTCAAATGTGTTGTAGTGGTTAATTTTGTAGATGAGGGGATGCACCTACATATACTCTTTTAGGAAACAATAGTAGTCTTCTTAAAATGTGTGCATATGATTTATTTCATAGTAATGACTCAGTATGTAATGGCTGAGTCATAGTAATGACTCAGTATGTAATGACTCAGAGTAATGACTCACATCAGTATGTAAATATTTATGGAACGTACATAATCTCATGTAGCTGTGCATTCCACATTCTGAGTATGTAGAATGTTCAACATGAAAGATGATTCGAAAAGTACTTTTTTTTTTTACTTTTTAATACAAAATGTTAAAGGTATTTTATTTTGTGTCATTAAACACTAGAGCACAGATTGTTCTTTCTGTATCTTTTAGTGCTTCAAAATCTTTTAACTTTTAAATTAGAGCTCTTGGATAAATTCTTTATTTAGTTTTGAAGGAATCTGTTTCTCTCCAGAGCTATAAAATCCATCAGAAGTGTAAAGTTTGAAAAGAGTATCTGGGTCAGAAACGCGTCACATTTAACAAGCAAGGAAAGAAAGCATTTCTGATCTTTTAAAGCTGCTGGCATGTTTCCACCTTTCACAGGAAAGGTTGCTTTAGGGGACTTGAAAGATTAAACACCCTGATCCATGGTTGATGTGCTTGTTGTCAGTTCTCAAGGGAGAATTTTATACTTTCTTGTGGGGCTATCAAGCTATCTCCACCATGATTCCAAACTTATTTTAGGAAAAAACAAGTATAAAGTGCAAAACAGCAATAACGTCAGAGAGGACTTCAAGCCAAGATTAAAAAATAAATCTTACAGGTGACAGTTCTAAGCTTCCAGCGGCTCAGGAGTTTTCACTCGAAGGCCCCAGGGATGGAGATTTATTACCTTCAGAAGTTCCCCCTCCCTGGTGGAAAAGATCCTGGATGGACTCAGGCAAAATCCACTAAGCAAGCAAACACCCATACACTACAGTCCCGGGGAGACGGCCTGGTGCTGTCTTGGTAAAATCCATCACTAAGCAATGAGTGACATATTAATAGCCATTAAATTAATTCCTTCCTCTGTTGTATATAATGATGCCCTTTGTACAGGCAGTGGGAATAGAATGTTTCTTAAATTTAAAGTGCAACCACCTGGGGATCTTGGTGAAATGCAGATTCTGGTCAGGAAGTCAGGGACAGTGCATCTGCATTTCTAAGAGGCTTCCAGGTAATACAGATGCTGCTGGTTCATGGACCACACATTGAGTAGCCAGGCTCCAGGCAGAAGAGAAGCCAACAGACAGAAGAAGAACACCCACATGAAGCAATAAACTTGACACATAAAATCTGAAGGAAAGGTTACAAGGGTCACTTGGCATTAAGAAAATTCCCTACGGCAAGGTATTAAGGGGTTCGTGTTTTTTACGTTTCATTCCCTGTAATTGATTTCTAATCTCATAGCATTGTGGTCAGAAAAGATGCTTGATATGATTTCAATTTTCTTAAATTTACCAAGGCTTGATTTGTGACCCAAGATGTGATCTATCCTGGAGAATGTTTCATGTGCACTTGAGAAGAAAGTGTAATCTGTTGTTTTTGGATGGAATGTCCTATAAATGTCAATTAAATCTATCTAGTCTATTGTGTCATTTAAAGCTTGTGTTTCCTTATTAGTTTTCTTTCTGGATGATCTGTCCATTGGTGTAAGTGAGGTGTTAAAGTCCCCCACTATTATTGTGTTACTGTCAGTTTCCTCTTTTATAGCTGTTAGCAATTGCCTTATGTATTGAGGTGCTCCTAGTGTTGGGTGCATATATATTTATAATTGTTATATATTCTTCTTGGATTGATCCCTTGGTCATTATGTAGTGTCCTTCTTTGTCTCTTGTAACATTCTTTATTTTAAAGTCTATTTTATCTGATATGAGTATTGCTACTCCAGCTTTCTTTTGATTTCCATTTGCATGGAATATCTTTTTCCATCCCCTCACTTTCAGTCTGTATGTGTCCCTAGGTCTGAAGTGAGTCTCTTGTAGACATCATATATATGGGTCTTGCTTTTGTATCCATTCAGCAAGCCTGTGTCTTTTGGTTGGAGCATTTAATCCATTCACATTTAAGGTAATTATCGATACGTATGCTCCTATGACCATTTTAATTGTTTTGGGTTTGTTTTTGTAGGTCCTTTTCTTCTCTTGTGTTTCCCACTTAGAGAAGTTCCTTTAGCATTTGTTGTAGAGCTGGTTTGGTGGTGCTGAATTCTCTTAGCTTTTGCTTGTCTGTAAAGCTTTTGATTTCTCCATCGAATCTGAATGACATACTTGCCAGGTAGAGTAATCTTGGTTGTAGGTTCTTTCCTTTCATCACTTTAAATATGTCATGCCACTCCCTTCTGGCTTGTAGGGTTTCTGCTGAGAAACCAGCTGTTAACCTTATGGGAGTTCCCTTGAATGTTATTTGTCATTTTTCCCTTGTTGCTTTCAATAATTTTTCTTTGTCTTTAATTTTTGTCAGTTTGATTACTGACAAAACATGCCGACAGTCTCGGCATGTTTCTCCTTGGGTTTATCCTGCCTGGGACTCTCTGTGCTTCCTGGACTTAGGTGGCTATTTCCTTTCCCATGCTAGGGATGTTTTCGACTATAATCTCTTCAAATATTTTCTCAGGTCCTTTCTCTCTCTCTTCTCCTTCTGGGACCCCTATAATGCAAATGTTGTTGCGTTTAATGTCCCACAGCTCTATCTACCCCATCTGGCCTATTTGCAAATGGTCATGTTTCTGCCTGCACAGATACACAGCAACAAGCCGTGCCAGTTAAGAAAAAAATGGATTTTTAAAACAGTCTGCGAATCCCAAATCTTGTTTTGGACCAGCCCAGTCCCAGCCTTGAGGGTTGGTTACTTCATAAACAGGAGAGAAAATGCTCAATTCAGTTGAGTCAAAGTAATCAATAATATAAAATGACTTTACACATAGGGTGAAAGGAAAACAATTCCATTTCCATTTTTTTTTCTTTTCCTCGCTACATGTAGAGCATCCACAAACATGAATGGCTAAACACTCAAGTTTACCTCTCCTTCTCCTTTGCTGGTCCAATAGTTCAGTTCCTTGACATCCACGAGCTTGATATGATTGCAAGGCAGAGGTGCTCCTACGTGTCCTAGAACACCAGAACAATGTGCATTTGTCAGTGTTCAGATCAATTTCAGCACTGAAGATGCTCCACGCCATGTGAAACCCCTCAAGTGGTCAAAGTGGGGAATCGTGGATGGAAAGCAATACACCTCTAGATGGGCGTTTGTCACAAGCAAGCATTGATGATAAAACAAAGTTCTGGAGAAAGGAGAGGCCAACCTCTGCTGGGCCTTTGTTTTACATCTGATTCTTAAACAGCCGGCCAGGCTTACATGGCCCAGAGTCAACCTGTACAGGGTCTCTGGGGAGGCTCATACCCACACCAACCAAACAGTCAGGATTTTTTATATTAAAACACTTTCCCCATCATCAGATCATATGTTTTGGTTTGGGGATCATAAAATATAGTCATTATTGCTTTTTCTTCCAGTCACCAGACTGTTGAAATGGAAAACAAGGATGAGGCAACTCGCCACCCCACGCCCTCAAATAAGACGGCAAATTTTCTTGGTCTTATATACTCCCACCACAAAACTACATCTAAGTCATTTTCTAGTATGTGGTGATTACACAATTCACTAGCAAGGCGCAGGATTTTTAAGCAGATGCTGGCCAAGGTCCTGAAATAAAGTGAGCCACATAAACAAAAAGCAGGCTGTGACACTTTCGTTTCTCTTTTAAATGAGAGACCGCCAAATCTTTTATAATATTGTACAAAGATACCGATCCTCTCATCCTCAATAACCTTTGCAAGTTTTTATAGTAAGGATGCATAAAAAAGGTAAAACCTCAAAAGCCTCACATAGGAAAATGCAGGACATCATAAGAGGGAAGAAAGTGTCCAAAGGAAGGGTATACATGTAAATGATCAGTAAATATGATCGCAGTAACAAGAACAAAGTTAATGAGCCAGGACCTCAGAAAATGGTCCGTGTAGTAAAGGTGCCAGTGGTAGGGAGATCAAAAACTTCACATACAAGATAGGCTTTATTCAGCTAGAGTTTAAGGAGATAAAACTTCTGTACCTGACTTTGCCAAATGTGATTTCAATTTAGAATCCACCTATCATGTTTCTGCTGACTACCTCAAGGTGCTCTGAAAATAGTATTACGCTACTAAGCATATTTCTTTTCTGTGCACATCATCCCAAATTTTCTAGTTTGTAGTTGAGCAAACTTAAGCGTGAAGCGTGGCTCCAGGCTCACAGAGGAAGTTGGTATCCTGAAGAATTCTTTTGCTGAATGTTTTTCAGATGATTGTATTTGGTCTAAGTTTAGTGACAGCCAATACATGGGCTACCTACTGCTTCCTCCTTGCCCTGAAAGATCGGTCCCTTCAGAATGAGGGTGTGGATAGTAGCTGCTCCTTTCTGAGGTTGCCATTGCCTTTTAGATGTTGCTATCACAGGAGACCATAGTTCCAAAGAGCCTCTGAAATGGCTCTTCAAGAAACAGCGCACTGGCTGCTATAAACTTGCCTCTCCTTCCTAAATCATATCCAATTCACAGCCTGCTTCCTTCATTCTGAAACGACTGTAAGCAAGACTGTGTGATATTTAGAAACTATAAAATCCAATATATTGATATCATAGGATTTTTCTACCTGGAGCTGTATTTTGTGATCTACTACTTTTTTTTAACATAACTTCTATTTATTTATAAAAGAAATAGGAAAATACAAAATATAGTAGGAAATACAAAAATATGTAACAAAAAGAAACAGATCCATAATGCCACAACACAGACAAAACTACCATCATTGTTTTTCTTCTGTTTCTTCTGCTGTTTCCTATGTAAATATACTTTCCATGAGGAAGTTTTAGAGCCTGCTGTTCTAACTCATTCTCACATCTCCAGCCAATCCTACCTGATGTCCAGTCCCCGGGTGTAGTGAAGGTACATCCAGCTGTGCACTCAGTTTGGCCATAACCTTCATAAACCTTCAAGCAAAACACAGAAACCATACTGTAGGTGCCCACCTGCCTGCAGATAGCTGGCTGCCCTTTTCAGCCAGCTAACCTCTCACGGAGCATCTGGTTGCTCCATGCTGGGGACCGTGGGAGGGGAGGTGCTCTGGAAGTAGGTACCTTCAGGAGAAACTGAACACAGACAACAGGTATAGCTACTCTGCTTGGAAGAAATGCTATTTTTAACCACAGACACTTAGTAGATAAGGTTATATGGTTTGGGATAAAGACTTCTAACCTATTTTCAACCACTGACTCTATTTCTAATTTGAATAATATGTATTAAAGACAAACATTTTAAAATCCAATAAAGATTTTGTCTCTGTAAGATATTCCCCTTCAGAGCCCCATGTGTTCGCATGAATAGACCATGTGGGAGAGCTGCCTTTAGGAGCGGTCAGCTCATGTTGGTGTAGAACAGGAAGTCAGCGTAAGAAGCCCCTGGCTTCTTTTTTCCTTCCTTTTTTTTTTTTTTTTTTTTTGGCGGTTTGCAGGATCTTAGTTCCCCAGCCAGGGATTGAGCCCACGGCAGTGAAAACACTGAGTCCTAACCACTGGACCGCGAGGGAATTCCCAAGAAGCCCACGGCTTCTAAAGGATAAAATTTTAAGCATGCACATTTATGAAGTAGATGTGCCTACTTTACTTAAAACCCACCAGTCACAACTATGTTACTATAGTCTGCATAAGTAGGAACCTGACAAACATTAATTGAATGGATAAATAAAGGAATGAATTTTTTTAGCAATGACAAAACCTACTGAATCAAATAAAAACACACAAATGAACTTTTATCCCCCTCCCTCGTGCTCCTTCTCTGGGCTGGGAAAGAGTCTGCAGGCTGGAGAATGCAGAGATGCTGGTACAGGTGTGGGACAGGTTCTCCAGCACACTGATGATCCATATACAGTTTTCTCCCAGAGTGGATACACACACCTGGGCTTTCCACAATGTGACAAGGTTATCTTGGCTTTCAGTGACCCTGGGCTTTTTACATCTTCAGAGAAGGGAGCTTTTATTCCACAAAGATCTTGCCCCCAGAATATTTCTCTGTACAGTAGAGGGTATAATGGGTTTCCTGCCCCGTCCTAACACTCACCCCACTGCCCCCAGGGAAGGCCACATAAAGGAAATACCTGGCACCCCAGAGCCGCCCGGAGGAATCCCAGGACCGTTGGTGACGCGGGGGCCGCTCCAGTAACAATCATCCGCACGCACCCACCAAGACTGGCCTGTGGGAAGAGAGAAGAACCTGCCAGAGTCTGTGCTGTGGCAAGTGGAGTGTAGCTCACCTGGGCCTCACCTAACATCAACGTTCAGCAGCTGTACCCTACCTGGACCCTAGGGTTGGGATCAGAGAGGCCGCCTGAGGCTGTACAACACATGAGCTGAGGAAGCCCCCTTCTTCCAAATGAATCAGCCCAATCAGCTTTGCAATCCAACCCACAATATGGCCAATTCTTTTATGTATTTTGAGATAAGGGCCATTAATCTGTGTGGCATTCTATAATTTTGGTTCTCCCTTTCTTAAAATACACAGCTGTTCCCTCACTCTCCCATCATTTGCAAGCAACCAAAACAATTACTGAGGACAATTTCTTCCCACTTCCACCTTAATGGCATGGCCTTTTTTCATTTCTAAATCAATGCCATGAGCTATTTACTATGCACTGCAGAGGTCAAAGAATTTTTTAAACACTTTGTTTCTGTAAGTTGAGCCAAGAGATTTTAAATATTAGTTTTCATAGCTAAAAATAGAGTAGTAAGGAAAAATGAGTACTGGTACAAATTAACTACAAGTTCTTTGAGTAATGCACAGCTTTAAAACTTTAGTGAGGAGACAGGAATGAGTAATTCATAAACAGCTTGGTTTAAGAGAGGCTGAAGAGATGGGAAACACGGAGGGAAAGGAAGATTCTTGGTCATCTGGCTAGAACCTTGTGCTACTGGAAAGCCACCGTGGCCAAGGCTACAGGGAGGGGCAAGAGAATCCTCGAGTCCCAAGAGCTGCTTGCTTGGTGAATCTGACTACCCAAGGGCAAAGCTGCCCTACTGCCTATAGAGGTCAAGGAACTTACTTTCCAGGAGTCCTTCTTGCTGGTTGCCTTTGGCAAATGTAACACATCTCCAATGAACAAAAATGGGTCCTTTAAAATTTCAGTGGTAGCTTAAGCTTTGATTTCATTAGCAAAAAGTTACCGTTTTATAAGATCACACACCATTGGGATGAACTTCTCTAATTCTTCTGTAAGGTCACCCATTGGACACTTGGGTGCCACTCTAACATCACTTGTTCGTTTTCTTACCTGAATCTTATGAAAGAAGAGTTCATCCCAGATACTATCATTCCTGATGATTCCACTCTGGACCTCAGCCTGTTTACGCTTTGCTGCAAATTCCAGGAGCCAGCGCTTTAATGATGTGTCTGCCTGGCTGAAGATCTGAGGAACAGAAGTTGGAAACAGCTGTAAAGACTGCAGGTCCCACCTCTAGATACACCCCCAGAAAGAAGGCCTAGATTGGCCAGCAGAGAAGCCACACTCTATTTCTGCCCCTGCAGGAGGTCACTGAATGTGTGACATCCAGCTAAAGGTTAACGCTACCAAGGCCCAGGCACGTTGTTGGGAAAGAATCCCTCCCCCCGAAATCTCCCAACCAGGGTTTTGTAGAATAGGAAGAAAACAGGAGAAGGAGGGGTGAGAGTCAGGGAATACAAGAGAAGAGGCAACTTCCAGGACCTGGGGCTGGTGGTGTAGAAAGTCTGCCTGGGGCTCCAGCCTCTGTCCAAACAAGCAGATATGCAGCTGCTCAGCCTGGCCAGAGACTCCCTGCGGAGCTCACCTTGTCGTACATGCGGTTCAGTAGTCGTGGGACCACAGGGAAGATGGTAGGACACAGAGCCTTCATGTCATCTGAGAGGAGGCGGATGTCTCCCTGGAAGAAGCCGACGCGCCCTCCGTGGCAGTAGACGACAGACTGGAAGAAGTGGACAGGAAGGGAGGAGTCCCTCAGGGCAGTCACTCCTGGCTGTAATCCAGAGCTGTCCAAAGCTCTGCCCCACACGGAGGGTGCCGGTGACACCCCTCACCCAGCTCTGGCTGCTGCCTTGGGACACTGAAGGAAGCCATTAGAGGTGACACCCCCCCCACACACACCCCTCCCCACCAAGTCCCACTCAGACATGGAGAGAAGCAGCAGGAGACAGGGTGGAATCCTGAGTCTTTGGGAGATGCCAGAGCAGACAGTCTCACTGGTGCCTGCCCCTTCAAGCTTACTCCCAAAGCCTGGACAGGGGCCTCCCTGAGGACTCAGTCTCTGAGCTGTATAACACCCTATCGGTGTGTCTGCTCCAGGTCTCAGAGCGCCTGTGGTCTTCCCCAGGGATACCTCGGCAACTCTGGAAGGGTATGCAGTGCCCACAAGTACTGGAGGTGCTGCTAATGTTGGCGGTGGGAGGCCAAGGCAGAGCCTGGCTGGTTGCTAATGGGACTAAGAGTATGCCAGGGGCTCCTTTCTGTCATGCTCAGAGCTATTCTATACGGGAAACAGAATTTCTAATCTCTGTTTTACAGATGAGGAATGCAAAGGTCACAGAGGTAAAGAAAGGGATTTGCCTAGAGTCCCAAAACTAGTTCACGGTAATTGCTGGCATGCGAATCCAGGTCTGGAAAGCTTGAAAGCACGCCCTAGTGCACCAGACCTCCCCCAAGGCAAAACGGGAGAGGCTTAGGAGATAGTTTATGCACAGGCTGGTCCCTTAAGTGACACACACGGATAATTCTTTGTCCCCACAACCTCAGGAGGACTCCTCCATTCTCTCTGTGTCCCCACAAGGCCTGTCCCAGGTCCAACCATAACACCAGTCCCATCCACAGCCTGAGGGGCCATGATAGTTTGACTCCCCTTTCAACTTCACTGTCTTGTTTCCTTTTTTAGGAGTTTAGTGAGTGATGAAAGTTACAGAATATAGGTGTTTGGGCCATAAATGGAGCCATACTGTACAGAGCTTGAATGGTAAAGCACTTCTGCAGAGCTGCAATGCTCTCTGAGCAGCTGGGGCCTTTCTCAGCCAAGGTGTGTCCACAGCAAGACAAGCAGGCCTGGGTCCTCCCTGGAGCAGTACTCACAGGAGGGACAGATCAGGGGGTCCAAGGTCCTCTGATCCCTCTGACCCCTGTGGCACCTTCCGAGGACAGGCCAGTTTAGTTCTACTTCAAGCTGCCAGTGACAAGTGTGACACCCTGCTAGGGTTCTGGGTTCTGGGCTCAGACTGTGCCTCCCTGAAGCCAGGGCCTTACCTGCACCATTCGCTCAAACATGTGTGCTAAAGGCAAATAGGAAATGTGCACATCCGCACAAGTGGGAGCCCACTGACTCTGTAAGAAAACAGAAGGAGCCCAGGCAAGGCCCGGTCAGTCAGGCGGGCGTCTTACCTGGATGACTCTCTCAAACATGTGAGCCAGAGGCAGGAAGGAGATGAGCACATCGTCCTGTCTCGGAAAGATCACTTTCTGCAGGTGCCGGGCATGGGAGACAGAAAGGAAAGAAACACTGACAGGAAGACGACAAGAGAGTCATAAAACAATAAAGAGAAAATGACCTGGAGGGGCAAACATGAAGAGGGGAAGGGCAGTGGGGAAGGGGGGACAGAGAGAGAGGTGAGATGACAGCGAGAGAAAAGTGAGAGAGAGAGGAGAGAGAGGAAGATGGGAGGCGCAGAAAGAAAAGAGAGAGAGACAGAGAGACAGGGCAGTGTAGGAAGCGGAGTGTTAGGTAGAAGCGCCAGTGGGTCTAGGTTATCTGCAGAAGCAAAGAGCCAACTGAAGCACACATAAACCAGCAGAGTCGAGCTCCGCAGGGAAGTCTCCTCTGGGAGGGCCTGCACCTCGTTCAGTCTTCGCGCCAGACCGGCACGCCTCTCCCTCCCCACAGCTGCAGGATCTGCCTCAGGCCCCACTTCACCAGCTTTCCTGGGCCACCCGGACAGCGATTCAGAGGGTCTCAGCCTGTTGGCACTTTCTGGTCCTCCTTCGAGAGAAAGGGGCCAAGAGAACCCTAGGTCTATGCCTACTGGGGCCGGGGTACGTGCCCCGGACAGAGGTGTGGTGGGTGGAACCAGGCCTCATAAGCTACAGCCTGGGAACATGGCCTTAAAGCGGATGGCCAAGAGGGACCCCACTCTCCAGGATGGGTCTGACCTCAGGGACAGGGGCTGACCTGGCCAGGGGGCCCCATTCAGGGATGAGCTCTCCTTGGCTGAGTTCCCTGCCCTCCGCCCTTTTACAGAGGTCTTCAGTCTCCTGGGCTGGCTTTTGGACGAGTTTGGACAAGCCCAGGGGACCTTGCTCATGGCTCCTGGTCTGGGCTCAGCTACCAACAGTGTCTCACAGTTTTCCACCAAAATATATAACAAATGGGCATATGCTCCATAATGCCATCTGGCATAAATGTGGATAGCGATTTTCTCCACAGTAGAGAAAAAGCTTAATTTATACAGGAAAAGGTACATTCCTTTCTCCTTTAGGAAAGTGTAGGACATTCAGATACTCACCACTTGTGGAAAAAGGTCCTTCTTTCTTAGCCGGTTAAAAAGTGCTAACATGTTTTTGTCAGGCCAAGTTATCAAGCTTTTGTGATTTTAGATTTACCTTTTTTAAGTACAGTTTTATAAATTAGCAGTTGCCATTGTTTCTCAGACTCTAGTAGTCCTTAAACACAAAATGACTGAATTAAACCCTGACCTACTTGGAAAAACAAGTTATTAAGGATTACTTTTAAATAAAGGTATACGTAAAACCACAGGTATCTTAATATTTGAAGTTAAAAATGAAAAACAGGTTTCCACGTTTTTCTTTCTGGGATCTGAGCACTCTCAGAAATCAACTGAATATTTACCAGGTATGGATCATTTCAGTGTTTGGGGTTAAAAGTATCTGTGAATGTGAGGTTGCTCTAATGAGAACAGAAACTCCTGCCTGTGAAAGGCAGCCCAGATTGTATCAGGGAAAAAAAAAGAAAACCCAAAAAACCTCTGAGGCTCGAGGGTGTCCTTGAGAGACACCTGCATTGGTGAGTCTACTTTATTCACCTCTGTCACTTTCAGAAAGCCTGAGAAATCAGCCACCACGTTCCCATGGGTGAGCATCGCACCTTTTGGGTTCCCTGAAAGGAGAGAGCAAGAAGGAGAATTAGTGGGAAGCTCAAGGGCCACTCCTTGAGAACAGCACCGGAGTCACCAGTCCCAGACACCCAGAGCTGTCCACGCAAACCTCTGGCCTTCGTCCACAGCCGCCTTCAGAGTCCCAGGCAGATGAATGCTGGGTCAGGGACCTTCATTCTGTAGACACTTGAAGCCCATCTTGAGGCTCCCAGGTGCTTGAGACCAGAAGGCAGGTGACACAGCTTGGAGTCACCTCAAGCGCCTCAAGGAGTGCCTCAGGACTGATGGGTTGGCCTGCACCTTCCCTTCTGCCTTCCTCAAGGAGCACAGGCTCTTGGCCTCCAGTCTCCTTATACATATACCCAGTAAACTATGCCACTCTCTGGGCCTGAGCAGTTCTAGTGTCCAGAATCCAGCAGTCAATTGTGCTGGCAGAGGACTTCCTCGCTGCATCCAGCACCTGGAAAGGCCCCAGCTCAGGCCAGGCCGGAGGTCCAGACTGCTGGGGCAGCCCTCCTGCCTGCTCACTGGCAGAGATGGGACATGGATATTCTTGCTTTGTCTTGACACGACCTTTCACTGCTGCTCATGAGGAAGCCCAGGGCTGCTAGGATGGCTCAGAGGACAGAGACCAGGTGGGGACAGAGGCACAGCAGGCTGTGGAGGGAGGCTGTTGGCCACCATTTCATGTCAACGTGGATACAGCACTGCCACTGCTGCTGGACAGACCTGAGCAGGCTCAAATCCTGGCCTTGCCCCTCCTTGGCAGTGTAACACTGGCAAGTCATTTTTCCTCTCTCAGTTTCCTAACCTATAAAATAGGGACAATGACACCCACCTCATAGGGCTCTATAAGGTCTAAGGACACAGCCATGTACAAAAGACATTAAATTAGAAGTTTCCACTGAGGCAGAAGATACAACAGCTGTGAAACTCCAAAAGTGAGGGGCTAGACCATGTGCAGAATTTACCCAAGAAATATCAAATAAACCAAAATGTTAACTTTGCAACCCTCACCCAGAAAGAGGTTAAAAAAAGGGCTGAGTTGAGGTTAAGAGAGTATTATAGTCAATGCCACTGAATTTTTCACTTTAAAATGGTTAATTTTATGCTATATGAATTTCACCTCCATAAGAAAGGGGTGGGGGTGGGGGAGAGAGAATATGAATGAATGAGGAAGAATTTGTGAGAAGGATTTCTTTGGCGAGAGAGCTATGCTGAGTGCTATAGCCCATCAAAAGGGGAGAAATGAGGGGTCCTTTCTCCCATCTCCAATCTGAAACCCAAGCTAACTCAGCCACTAATGAGATTGCTTCAAAAGCCCAATCATGTTCCCGGGCTGGGGGGTTGGGAGGGAGGGGTCCCAAAAAGAAAGGTGAAGAAGGCCGTGGCTGCAAAAAAAACAATAAATCCCAGAAACTGGATATGGAGTCTGCAGAAGGAACAATAGGTGGTGGTGGGAATGGTGTGTTAAAAAGGAATCTTGAAGGAAACAATAGCAAAGATCAATAAAACTAAATGCTGGTTCTTTGAGAAGATAAACTAAATTGATAAACCATTAGCCACACTCACCAAGAAGAAAAGGGAGAAGACTCAAATCATAGAATTAGAAATGAAAAAGGAGAAGTAACAACTGACACTACAAAACTACAAAGGATCAGGAGAGATTACTACGAGTAACTCTATGCCAATAAAATGGACAACCTGGAAGAAATGGGCAAATTCTTAGAAAAGCACAACCTTCCAAGACTGAACCAGGAAAACTAGAAAATATAAACAGACCAATCACAAGCACAGAAATTGAAACTGTGATTAAAAGTCTTCCAACAAACAAAAGCCCAGGACCAGATGGCCTCATAAGCAAATTCTATCAAACATTTAGAGAAGAGCTAACACCTATCCTTCTTAAACTCTTCCAAAATATAGCAGAGGGAGGAACACTCCCAAACTCATTCTACGAGGCCACCGTCACCCTGATACCAAAACCAGGCAAAGATGTCACAAAGGGGGGCTTCCCTGGTGGCACAGTGGTTAAGAATCCGCCTGCTAATGCAGGAGACACGGGTTCAAGTTCTGGTCCCGGAAGATCCCACATGCCATGGAGAACCTAAGCCTGTGTGCCACAACTACTGAAGCCTGGGCACCTAGATCCCGTGCCTCACAGCAAGAGAAGCCACCACAATGAGAAGCCCGTGCACTGCAGCGAAGAGTAGCCCCCACTTGCCGCAACTAGAAAAAGCCTGCACACAGCAACAAAGACCCAATGCAGCCAAAAATAAAAAATATATAAATTAATTTTTTAAAAAATGTCACAAAGAAAGAAAACTACAGGCCAGTATCACTGATGAACATAGATGCAAAAATCCTCAACAAAATACTAGGAAACAGAATCCAACAGCACATTAAAAGGATCATACACCATGATCAAGTGGGGTTTATCCCAGAAATTCAAAGATTCTTCAATATATGCAAATCAATCAATGTGATACCCCATATTAACAAATTGAAGAATAAAAACCATATGATCCTCTCAATAGATGCAGAAAAATCTTTCGACAAAATTCAACATCCACTTACGATAAAAACCCTCCAGAAAGTAGGCATAGAGGGAACCTACCTCAACATAATAAAGGCCATATATGACAAACCCATGGTCAACATCATCCTCAATGGTGAAAAACTGAAACCATGTCCACTAAGATCAGGAACAAGACAAGGCTGCCCACTCTCACCACTATTATTCAACATAGTTTTGGAAGGTTTAGCCACAGCAATCAGAAAAGAAAAAGAAATAAAAGGAACACAAATCAGAAAAGAAGTAAAGCTGTCACTGTTTGCAGATGACATGATACTATACATAGAGAATCCTAAAGACGCTACTAGAAAACTACTAGAGCTAATCAATGAATGTGGTAAAGGAGCAGGATACAAAATTAATGCACAGAGATGTCTTGCATTCATCTACACTAACAACAAAAAATCTGAAACTGAAACTAAGGAACACTCCCATTTACCACTGCAACAAAAAGAATAAAATACCTAGGAATAAACCTACCTAAGGAGAAAAAGGACCTGTATGCAGAAAACTATAAGACACTGAGGAAAAAATTAGATGATACAAATAGATGGAGAGATATACCATGTACTTGGATTGGAAGAATCAACATTGTGAAAATGACTATACTACCCAAAGCAATCTACAGATTCAATGCAATCCCTATCAAACTACCACTGGCATTTTCACAGAACTAGAACAAAGAATTTCACAATTTGTATGGAAACACAAAAGACCCCAAATAGCCAACGCAATCTTGAAGAAAGAAAAACAGAGCTGGAGGAGTCAGGCTCCCTGACTTCAGACTATACTACAAAGCTACAGTAATCAAGACAGTATGGTACTGGCACAAAAACAGAAATATAGATCAATGGAACAGGATAGAAAGCCCAGAGATAAACCCACGCACATATGGTCACCTTATCTTTGATAAAGGAGGCAAGAATACACAGTGGAGAAAAGACAGCCTCTTCAACAAGTGGTGCTGGGAAAACTGGACAGCTACATGTAAAAGAATGAAACTAGAACTCTCCCTAACACCATACACAAAAATAAACTCCAAATGGAATAAAGACCTAAATGTAAGGCCAGACACTATCAAACTCTTAGAGGAAAACATAGGCAGAACACTCTATGACATACATCACAGCAAGATCCTTTTTGACCCACCTCCCAGAGAAATGGAAATCAAAACAAAAATACACAAATGGGACCTAATGAAACTTCAAAGCTTTTGCACAGCAAAGGACACCATAAACAAGACAAAAAGACAATTCTCAGAATGGGAGAAAATATTTGCAAATGAAGCAACGGACAAAGGATTAATCTCCAAAATTCACAAGCAGTGCACGCAGCTCAATATCAAAAAAACAAACAACCCAATCCAAAAATAGGCAGGAGACCTAAATAGACATTTCTCCAAAGAAGATATACAGAATGCCAACAAACATATGAAAGAGTGCTCAACATCATTAATCATTAGAAAAATGCAAATCAAAACTACAATGAGCTATCACCTCACACCAGTCAGAATGGCCATCATCAAGAAACCTACAAACAATAAATGCTAGAGAGGGTGTGGAGAAAAGGGAACCCTCTTGCACTGTTGGTGGGAACATAAATTGATACAGCCACTATGGAGAAGAGTATGGAGGTTCCTTAAAAAACTAAAAATAGCACTACCATATGACCCATCAATCCCACTCCTGGGCATATACCCTGAGCAAACCATAATTCAAAAAGAGTCATGTACCACAATGTTCACTGAAGCACTATTTACAGTAACCAGGACATGGAAGCAACATTAAGTGTCCATCGACAGATGAATGGATAAAGAAGATGTGGCACATACATACAATGGAATATTACCCAGCCATAAAAAGAAACAAAATTGAGTTATTTGGAGTGAGGTGGATGGACCTAGAGTCTGTCAAACAGAGTAAAGTAAGTCCTAAAGAGAAAGACAAATACCGTATGCTAACACATATATATGGAATCTAAAAAAAAAAAAAAAAATAGGTCATGAAGAACCTAGCGGCAGCACAGGAAAAAAGACACAGACCTACTAGAGAATGGACTTGAGGACACGGGGAAGGGTAAGGGTAAGCTGGGACAAAGTGAGAGAGTGGCATGGACATATATACACTACCAAATGTAAAACCGATAGCTAGTGGGAAGCAGCTGTATAGCACAGGGAGATCAGCTCGGTGCTTTGTGACCACAGGTAGGATAGGGAGGGTGGGAGGGAGGGAGACGCAAGAGGGAAAAGATATGGGAACATATGTATATGTATAACTGATTCACTTTGTTATAAAAAAAAATCATACAATATTTTGTGCCTTTTTTCTTTTGCTCAACATTAAGGTATATAATTTTCTATTTGTAGATATACCATTCTATTGCTGAAGGGTCATTTGAGTTGTTTCCAGACTTTGACTTTTCAAATCGTGTTGCTGGGAACATTATGGAGCATGCCTTTTGGTGACACAGCCAAGCTTCTTAAAAGAATTGTCAGGCTTCCCTGGTGGTGCAGTGGTTGAGAGTCTGCCTGCTGATGCAGGGGACGCGGGTTTGTGCCCCGGTCTGGGAAGATCCCACGTGCCGCGGAGCGGCTGGGCCCATGAGCCATGGCCGCTGAGCCTGCACGTCCAGAGCCCGTGCTCCGCAACGGGAGAGGCCACAACAGTGAGAGGACCGCGTATCGCCAAAAAAAAAAAAAAAAAAAAAAAAGAATTGTCCACACTTGCTGAGTTGACATCCTTACCTCCCATCCACTCCTCAGTCCACCATAATCAGTTTCTGCTTCCAACCTCCCCTGTCTCAGGAGCACCAGCAGGTGTTTTTGTGGCAGCATCCTATGGGTACAGCTTAGCCATCGACAATGCTGACAGGTTCTATTCTGCCCTAGCCTCTCTGGCTGCTCCTGCTCAGCCTTTATTTGGAACTCTTACCCCCATCATTCCTCTCCTGTCAGGATTCCCAGGGCCTGCAACCAGACCTCTCTTTTCCTCAGTCGACTCTCCCTCAAAGAAACATTTTCTTTCTTGCCGCTGGTCCTCTGCACATGCTGTTCCCTTTGCTGAGAATGCCCTTCCTCCTCTTCTCCTCCAGCTGCCAATCCTTCAAGACTCTGCTTAGATTTGAAATCCTTTCTGTCCCGCTGTCCTGACCTCTGGGTGGCCTAGCACTCCATGTACCCTGGGATGCAGACCCTCGAGGCAGTGAACTGCCTCATGACATGAGCTGTGTGCTCATGAGGGCAGGGTCGTGTCTTGTCCATCCCTGTGTCCTCAGCCTCCAACACTAGGTCTGATGCATAGTGGATGCTCAATAAATGAGCTGAATGAATGAACCTACATAAATTAGAAAAAGAATGCTAAAAACCCATAGACTAAGAAGGATATGTTTTAAAAGACCACTGTAGGGACTTCCCTGGTGGTCCAGCAGTAAAGAATCTGCCTTACAATGCAGGGGACGTGGGTTCAATCCCACATGCCGCAGGGCAACTAAGCCCACGTGCCCTGGAGCCTGTGCGCCACAACTAGAGAAGAGAAAACCCGCATGCCACAACTAAAGAGGAGACTGCGCACCACAATGAAAGATCCCGCATGCCTCAGTGAAGATCCCGCATGCCTCAACTAAGACCCAATGCAGCCAAAAATATATAAAATAAGTAAATAAATAATAAATAAATAATAAAATAAAAGACCACTGTATTTTCTTCTCTAGGAAGGGAGGGTAGCACATGAACGCATAAAGATACATCTGAACTGTCATTCATGGGGCCCAAGTCCCCAGACTGGGCTACGTTATACCCACAAATTATCTTTTATTTGGAGAGGGCAGCTTGATTTCAGTCCAGCTGATGGTTATTCTGAAACGAACAACCAACCACACACCCACCCATTAGCCATCCCTGAGTACAGACAAACCCCAAGCTCTCACCTCCTCCAGGGCCTTCTTGGCCTAGCTAGTGGCTCCAAAGCACTGGCCTATTCTGGGAATTTCCACAGATGTTTCCATCACACATCAAGAGAAAAATCTTCCCAGAATGATCCCACCAGAATCATGATTCAAATGTCAGATTCAGATCATATTTTCCATCTTTCCTCATTGAAAGAACGATGTGGCTCTTGATGAAGCTGAGGCCAGGACACTTATCACGGAAGGGAAGCTGTATCCACAGCTGTGATGTGCTGGACAAGAGGATGGCTACCAGAGGCACAGCACAGGCTTAGGCTAATGCCAAGGAAATCCACACGTGCAGCCAAGCAGGGTAACGTCAGGTAAGAGGCCTGCTCACTCCCCCAGCTCTGCCCCGGCACCAGCCACACCACTGGAGTGAGAGGTTTGGGCACCGAATCACAACCTGTTTTCTAGCCTCAATACATTCTGCTTCCACCACAGAGCGCCTGGGCAGGATGGCTCAGCTTCCAATTGAGACTCCATGGTCTGAAAAAGCACTGGACATGAGGCCTGCCCTCTGCAGCTAGGCAACAACACATTTCTGCATAATCAAGTTCTTTTCCAGATCCAGGGGCAGCAGCTGTGACTAACTGACTCAGAAGATGTGGCATCTATATACAATGGAATATTACTCAGCCATAAAAAGAAACGAAATTGAGTTATTTGGAGTGAGGTGGATAGACCTAGAGTCTGTCATACAGAGTGAAGTAAGTCAGAAAGAGATAGACAAATACCGTATGCTAACACATATATATGGAATCTAAAAAAAAAAAAAAAGGTCATGAAGAACCTAGGGGTAAGACGGGAATAAAGTCACAGACCTACTAGAGAATGGACTTGAGGATATGGGGAGGGGAAAGGGTAAGCTGTGACAAAGTGAGAGAGTGGCATGGACATATATACACTACCAAACGTAAAATAGATAGCTAGTGGGAAGCAGCCGCATAGCACAGGGAGGTCAGCTCGGTGCTTTGTGACCCCCTAGATGGGTGGGATAGGGAGGGTGGGAGGGAGGGAGACGCAGGAGGGAAGAGATATGGGGATATATGTATATGTATAGCTGATTCACTTTGTTATAAAGCAGAAACTAACACACCATTGTAAAGCAATTATACTCCAATAAAGATGTTTAAAAAAAAAAAAAAGCCAGGGGGCACTCTTGAACAGCAAGGGTCCAAAGCTAAAGGCCGCAGTAGTGACCTGCCCCCAAACCCAGGGTGGAGGGACATGTCACCAAAATTTCACATTGTGAAACTCTTGACAAAAAGCAACAAAAACCTGAAGGGCATTTTTGAATTCTGGGCTGGCTCTGGATGTCAGCTCCTGGAAAGCAAAGGCTGTGTTATTTCTCTCCTGACAGGGTTTAGCAGTCAGGTGGAAATTCTCAGACCCACTTGAGTTAATGGCAAAAACCCACTCTGATTCAATAACATCATGTTTATCGTGATCTACCCACAAGGATTATCCTGCCTGCGGGGCTGGTCAAGGATCTGCCAACTGCCTTGGAGGCTCCATCTGTGGAAGGCGTGGGGAACTCCAGGTCACTGCCCATCAAGAGCTATCATCAAGGTAGGCCAGCCCTAGGTCTGGAAAACAGGCTGGAACCTTCTTGCCCCTTCAGGCCAAGGGCAAGTGACTTCCCGAGTCATCAGATGAGATGAAGAGGCAGCAGTGGGGAGAGCACTGGGCTGTGAAATGGGAGAACAGGGCACAAGCCTCTGCCTCCAATTGCTGTTGGTGCCCCCTTGGATAGTCTCCACCCCACCTGCCTCACAGGTCGTGCTGAGGCCCCAGTGACACAGTGATAGGGTGAACGGGCCACTGCAGGCTACAAAGTACTGTGCCTGTAGCCGTGGTCCTCAGGTGCGTTCTGCCTCCCCTAGGAAGCCTTCCTTGGCTGTTCGCACTGACACTGATGCACGTGTTCCTCTGTCAGCACTGGGCATGGACTGCATCATTTTCTCTCCCTGACAGCCTTGCCCACGGCATAGATCATCTGTGCAGATGATCTTGCCCCAGATCATCTGCACTGCCCTTTCACACACTTTCCCACCTCCAACTTGGCACCTTTAACCACCCAGGTAAGAAACTGGGGACAGGGACTTCCCTGGTGGTCCAGCAGTTAAGACTCCATGCTCCAATGCATGGGGGCCCGGGTTCTATCCCTGGTCAGGGAACAAGATCCCCCATGCTGCAACTGAAGATCCCGTGTGCCGCAACTAAGATCTGGCACAGCCAAATAAATAAATATTAAAAAAAGAAAGAAAGAAAGAAAGAAAGAAACTGGGGACAGTGGTGGCAGGGGGGTTAAGGGACCGGCTCGTGGTCCCCCAGCAAGTGGTGGAGGTGGGACTTAAAACCAGGCTCTCAGACACCAAATCCCACACTCCTTCCCCAGTCCCTGACACAAAGTCCAGGCAGGGGCAGGAAAGCAGAGGAGTGAGAGCCCCTCCTCAGAGTAATGACGTGACCCGGCTGCCCAGCCCACCTCTGGCCCCAGCTCCAGGAAGTCTGTAGCACCCACCCCACCCCAGACACCCCCAGTCCACACCATCCATTCACTTCCAGCTGCCCCACGTTGCCTCGCATTGGCCACTGGGAGCAGCAGGAAGGACCCAGTGTCTGGAGCCAGGCACAGGACAAGGCTCAGCCCATCCCACAGAGGGTGCCGGAGACGTCTCAGTCACTCTGCCAAAGCTGCCAGGGAAGGGTGCAGGTGGCCCTGGCTGGTGGGCTAGGAGCCTCTGCTTACCTGTCGTGCCGCTTGTGAAACACACAATGGAGAGGTCACTGGGTTTCGGGGGCTGCAGAGGTGAGAAGAGGAGTGTGTTAAAGAGACCCAGTGTGCCCAGCCTGGGCTCCTCCACCAGCCAGCCCCTCTGAGCACACCCCCGTGTGTGCACTGTGTGAGGGTGCAGGCATGTGTCGGCACATGTGCACGGCCCTGCATGCTGTCATTGGAAAGGTGAGCAGGCAAGTCCCCAGGAAAGAGGAAGAAAAACCAAGGAAACCTAACCGGACATGGACGTCGATCTGTCCCACCAACCTCACATCTGCTCCTGCTGCCTCGCCTACTTGAGGCTGAGCTGAATTCTAATGGGATTGGGTTGCAGTGGCCATACTTAGGCCTCTATCAAAGATCTCACCGTTCTAGGGAATGTGACCCACTTCCTCCTTCCTTCCCACTTTCTCCCAAGTGTCCGGGTTTAGGCTTGGGAACGGAAAATGTAACCCAAGAACTGAGCTGCCCACTCTGTCACTAAGATTGCTCTGCATCAGGCCCTTGCCCTGGCACTGTGCACATAGTCCTGGGGTCACCAGGAGGAGCCCACCATGACCACTTGCATGTAGAGGATGGCTTCCCGGAGGAGGTGACATGAGTTGAGACTGAAGGACAAGCAAGATCTCTCCAGATGAGGTGACGGTGGGCATTCTGGGAGAGGAACCAGCCTGGGCACTGTCAGAGGCACAAGAGACAGCATGCTGCGGGGCCAGAGAGCAGGTCTCTAAGGCTGGGGCACAGTGTGTAGAGGTGGGGACACGCCAGGGGCTACTCATGGTGAAGGGCCCTGGGAAGCAGGGATTGACTTGCTGAGGCCTGTGTGTGAGAAAGCTCACAGGCTGGTGAGAGCGGGAAGAGCTGAGCTGCAGAGGGAGCTGGAGGCAAGAGGCCTGGTTAGAAAGCTCACAGCCCCTACAAGACCCTCCCAGGGGCTGTGACCCTCCCTGGTGACTCGAGCCCAGGGAGGATCACTAGGGGCCGACACACAGAAAAGTTCAGAGAGCAAAGATGAACAAAGACAGCAGATGTTACAAGGGGTCCACTTCCGAGTCTGTTGCTGCTCCTGTCCATCCCATCCTCGGGAGAGACTGCTACATCGAAAGGGAAAACATAAGACCTCCCAAAGAAAAAGTTACTGGAGACCCAAGGGTGTCCAGGATTGGTGGCCCTTTTATCTCCCTCCCAATGTCTGACTCCCGTTCCAGGTCGTCCTGGGTGCCCCAAGGGGACATTTCCTGAGTTGCTTATTAACACAGAGCTGCTACTCTGGCTCCTCTACTGAGCCTTGTGCACAGCGAGGGAGTCTGTGAGGACATGCCCTGGACACCATAGTGCTCAGTCAAAACCTGCTGGCAGATGAGCTTACCACAGGAACGTGGTGATTCCGCTGGCCACAGTCCTGGAAGAGGAAAACACTGTTTTTAAATGCTCGAGAGTTCTAATCAATCAAAATAAACTCTGCACAGTATGCCCTGTTCCCACGGCAAGCCCAGAGTCCCAGACTCCCTGCCCAGATGTGGCCCGTGCAGAGACACCACCTCAGCGGTCTCTCCTCAGATACACATCCAGGCCTTGGCCACCCATGCATCCCAGACAGCGGCCTGGGGCCCAGGAAGAGGCTAAGCACTGTGCACATGCACAAGGGGGAGACAGCCTGAGGGGCCCACGGTACGTCTAGACGCATGCTCAAGACACACTGGCTAGGTGACCCGGGCTTGCAACTAAGTGGTCAGGGCTGGAGGGGCAGACGGGGGCTGCCAGCTCAGGCATGGCCCCTAAAGCCATGGAGGGGCACAGGCCCTCCATGGCTTTGTGGGTACATTTAAGAGCAGAAAGGGAGACAGGAGGAGAAATGGAGGGCCCACAGATCCAGGAGGGCACAGTGGGGGTCAGCTGCTACTGAGCAAAAGGCCTGAGGCCCCGGAGGATGTTCTGGGTCACTCCAGCAGGCCATAAGCTGCCACCAGCCTAATGTCTCTGTGGAGGCCATGCAAAGGAAAATTGGTTCTGCTGGCTGCTGGGGGTCTGGGACACAACTGCAAGAACCTCTCCAAGACTCCTGGACCTCAGGTTTACTACAGTCCTCAGGCTCAGACAGGCTGGCTGTTAGCTGGAAATGAGGAGGCTCCGGAGGCTGTGGGGATAGCTCTGGGGCAGGCTGGCACCACCATCTACCTGTTGGTGCCTGTGTCACTAACTGGGCCAAATAACTGAGCCCATCTCAAAGAGGATGCCTGTGGGTACCAACCCCACTACCCACCACCAGCCCTTGGGAAGCCTGCCCTGTTTGAACCCTGACACACCCTAATGGCCCAAGACACCCATCCTAGGGCATAAGATGGGCAGATAACCGGCAGCTCTGGCTCAGTGGCCAACCAGCTGTGGCCAGGAAACAGCCCAGAAGCAGACCCTCACCTCCACAGCCTGCATGGACTTAACGACCACCCCGCAGTCTTGCCCTCTGTCTTTCAAAGCTTCCTCAAATGGTTCCATGAGGATGATCAGCTTGAGCCCCAGTGTCTCCTTCCTCTCCACGTGCTCCAGCAGAACCACGGCTTTCTGAGGTTTATCCACGATCACAGTGCTGATGTCGGCTGCAGGGACCACCAAGGAGAGTCAGGCTGTGCGGGCACAGGCTGTGACCGTGGGCAGCACATGCCAGGCAGTGGAACCATGGGCTGTGTGTGCCACATGATAAGCTTGTGTGTAAATAAATACATACGACAGGCCATGTGGGACATGTATTGTGTCCAGAGGAAAGTGCACAGAGCCTGGATGGAGCCAAGGGCAGAAGACCAGGGAGTCTCCCGGGGTAGATTCCAAGCATTCTTTTTCTTCAGGCTCAGCCCCCATCGTCCCTGGTCTGTTTGAGATATTTACCACCCCACAGCATCTTCCTCAAGCTGAAGTGAACTCAGAGGGTTGGCAGCCCTACGTGGAGGCTGGTACAGAGTCTCCTTCTTGGCAGCCCTACCCTGTGGAAGGAGCCTTTGGGTGAAGTCCAACTGGGGACAGCTGGACTCAGGAAGCCAACTCAAGGGCCAAAGTGGAAGCCCCCAGCGTTCTCTGAGAGCGGAAGCAAAGTACTTACTAGTGTCAAACAATCAGCAGAAGCTGAAAAGGGCTGGGAGGAGGAGGTGGGGCTGGCTGCCGGGGCAGGAGTGGGCGGCTGGGCTCACCTGTGTCGATGATGTAGCGGATTGCCCCTGGGCCCAGGGTGTCATAGAGCGGGACCACCACCATAGAGTATGTGTAGCAGGCAAGCTCCGCGATGATCCACTGTGGAGACACACAGGTTGGGGGGAAGGGGGGGAGCACAGAGCAGACAGCAGGGCTGCACTGCCCTCAGGCCTTAGGCACGGGGCTCCCTGATCGGGGTCCTGTGCCGAGAGCGCTCCGCACAAGGCAAGGGATCCATAAAGCTGACCCGTTGGGCCTGCTCCCCCACGTTCTTCTAGACTTGCTTGCCCCAGGGAATTACGGGACTCAAAATAACCCCAGGCCCACCTCCGGGGTTTGCATGGCCTTCTTCCCCAGATCCTTCTTCCCCCATGGCTCAGGGAGCCACTGTTTGGACAGCTAGGTAGGGTGTGGATAGAACTTGGCTGGAATGTCCAGCCCTGATGAGGGACAGAGCCAAGGGAGTGGGGGATGGCATGGACCAACAGTCTCCAGTTTTCCTCTTGTCCCAGGCCCTACAGACAGCGGGAGCAGGGATGTTCTACGGTACCCAAGCTTGTGTTCCACTGATGCCTCTAAAACCAGTTAAGGCAGGTGCTCACCTCTGGTCGATTTTGTGCAAAAATGCCGATAAACTGATCTGTACACGGTTTACAATTGTGCTGGAGAAGTCCAGACCCTAGAAATTCAGCCCTGTCGGCCACCTGCACACAAACATGGGGCAGTGATGGGAAAGCAAGGACTCTGCAGCAGGGAAGGGAGATCCCCAGGTGGGATTTCTAAGGTCTGATGGAGCTCCCCAACTCCCTACTCAGTGATGCTGGAAGTCCTGAGAGGCTGCTGCCTGGAGTTTGGCAGACAGTCCAGGCAAGGAAAAAAGTGACTCTCTGAGAGCCTCCAGGGTGCCCACAAGCCCCCCCACCCAAGTGCCAGGTCTGTGTGGGTGGACAGGGTGGGGCCTGTCTTCTATTACTCACCTCCTGGTAGGACAGCCACTGATAAGGCTTCTTGGGATTCCTGAAGCCAAGACAGGGTCCATTCCCTACATAGAGATAAGCATGCCTTGTGCCAGGGAGGAGGGCAGGGTGTGGGAGTCACTGAACCTGCCCATCAGACACCTGGATCAATATCCCATCCTGGGAGGCGGTCCATGGGCCAAATGAACTGCTCCCCAGCTGTCTGTCTAACCTGCTGAAGTCCAAGAAGGCCTAAAGTGCACAAGCATGGCATCTCCCCAGGGAGATCAGGAAGGCCCAGGAATGGGAACTGACACAGCGGTAGTTCCCACAATGACCTGTGTGATGCAGCCCCAAGAAGACATGGAGACCTGGGGGCCACTGGCCAGAGGTGGCAGTTTGCCTCTCTGTGACAACTCCCTTCACCCCACGCCATGGGTCACCCAGACATCTCGGAGGCTCAGGTTCAGAACCATGCCAGCCAGTAGCCTGCGAGTTCAAGGCTCACGAGGGGCTGCAAATAGGAGATATAGAATATGAGCAAAGAGACCGCTTAAGGTCAGCAGTTCTCAGGGCTGTAATAAAGCTGAGGTCAGCCCTTGGGCCTCATAATGCAGCTAGCTACTCGTCTGACTGGGTGGCAGGAGGGCCAAGAATGGCTTCTCTCATCTGAACCTGGGCACGACTCACCTGCCATACCCCTGGAACCATGCTTGCTCACCCACACCCTTGTACCTGCTCAACCCCTGCCACAGCCCTTCCACACCCCCATGGCCCCTCTCACCTGAGATGCTAAGTCCACGGCGGAACACCTCGTACATGGTCCTGGCATCGTCATAGTAGTGGGTGAGCAGTTGAGGGCCATCCCCTATCACGGATCGCCGGGCCCCACCACTGTCCTATGAGCCAAGCACAGGCCAGAGAAGCTGGCTGATGCAGGCAGGCAGGGGTATCAGGAGAGGGCACCAGCATGCATCAGGCTGTACATGGCTTGGATACACACCTGGGCCACGTAGTTGGAGCTGGGACACACTCTGTGTGCACTCACACACATGGCCTACACGCACCTGGGCTGTACACACACAAACTCCACACACATTCATGTACACGTGGCTTGTACACACTGGACCTGTATGCATCCACACTCAAACAGGGGTGGCTCATGCCCAGGGGCCCAGTACACTGGTCTCCCACACACATACACACATACAGCACCCACACACCAGGCAGCATACACTAAATGCCCAGAATCTTCAGTTACTGTTCATACGCACCCGTGGTTTACTCATACAGCAGAGTGGGGAGTGTTGGCTAGTCAGGCTGCCCCTGCATCAGGACCAATCTGCAAAGGTGTTGCTGCTATGCACGTAGGTTAAGAATCATTTGGGAGCTGTCTTTAGCTAAGAAGGCTCCCATCCATCATTCACATAACAGTGTGATGAGTTTGAGGACTGGCTGGGAAAAGAGGCCTAGAAGGCGGTGGAGGGAATGGCGTAGCAGATGCCCGGGCCCTCAGTGGTATGGATCCAGAGTGGGACTGTAGCAAACACCATCTGTGCTGGGGGGCGGGGGAAAGGAGCTGGGCTTCTCCTGCCTCTTTCCCTTCCACATGCCAGCCCTCCTCAGGCTCCCCAAACCCAGAACTCTGCAGTATCACAGCTCCATCTCTTCTCCAAGCACTATTTGGGCTGCACTGGGCTGGCCCATGGTCCGCTACCCCTCTTGGAACATCAGGTCTGAGGAAAAATGTGACAGCCACAGAGCCAACAGCCAAACTCAAAACCACAGGCAGCACTCAGCTGTTGTGCAGTGGAAAGTTCTGTTTGGCCAGTGCTTCCTGAGCACCAGGCCCATGCAGGACCTCTGTGGGAATCTGGGGACAGATACAGTCAGACCTGGTTAGCATTCAGGGGGACAGAAATGAGACAGCAAGAGACTGTGTGCCAGCGACAGAAGGGGCTCAGTGGGCAGGTATGTCAGAGAGTGGCCGCTGAGCTGGGTTTTGAAGGATACAAAGAGGGGGCTTCCCTGATGGCGCACTGGTTACGAATCCGCCCGCCAATGCAGGGGACACGGGTCCGAGCCCTGGTCTGGGAAGATCCCACATGCCGCGGAGCAACTAAGCCCGTGCGCCACAACTACAGAGCCTGTGCTCTAGAGCCCACAAGCCAAAACTACTGAGCCCATGCGCCACAACTACTGAAGCCCGTGCTCCGCAACAAGAGGAGCCACCGCAATGAGAAGCCCTCGCACTGCAACGAAGAGTAGCCCCCGCTCGCCACAACTAGAGAAAGCCCGCGCGCAGCAACAAAGACCCAACACAGCCAAAATAAATTAATTAATTAAATAAGGAAAGAAATAGAAAAAAATTTTTTTTAAAAATAAAAGGGTTTACTGGGAAGAATGAAGAACAAGGAATGGCGGTTTCACCAGAGGCAACAGGGAGTGCAAACACATGGGGCAGGAGGCACCTGGGAGACTGTAGGCAATTCGTGCCACTCCAAGTGGTAAATGGAGGAGGCCAGAGAGGCTGCAGATCAAGGTGAGGAGTCTGAGCTTTAGGTTGAGGGCAACGGGGAGCAGGGAAGGATTTTAAGCCAGGGTGAGTGACATGATATGAATTGTTTCCTACCGTGTAGCACACAGAGTAAATGCTACCAGGCCCTCTATGATCTGGGTCCCTCTTACCTCTCTCATCTCATTTCCTACCACTCTCTCCTTTCCTCCTTCACTATAGTCACTCCAGATTCCTACACTCCTGGGGGATGAAGCAAGGGAGGGCTCCATCCTCCCCAGGAAGGGAGACCTTAGCTGTGTCCATGCCCTGTCCTCCCAGCCAGACCCGTGAGGCGACTCACTCTGTGGCACTCAACCTGACCCCATCCAGACCACTGTCACCTCCAGCCCAGAAGCCCCAGTTGCCTCCTCATGCCTGCCCCTGCCAAAGCCACAGCAAAAACGGGCCCTGTCTCTCCTACTACTGACAGCCTCAAATAAATCCAGGCTGTCCATCTCCAAGGGTCCCTGCCCAGTTAATGGGGCTTTGTCCTTGCTGGCCTCTCCAGATGAGTTGTAACTGTAAGCTTACCAAAAATAATTCATCTTAGTGCTTTCTCTGCATCACCTCACCAAATCCTTACCATAACTTTAGGAAGCAGATACTCTTTTTATTGCCCACTTGACACATGAGGAAACTGAGGCTCAGAGAGTTAAGAAACAGCCGAGGACCATCAGGCTAGTAAGAGGCACGGCCAGCCTGCAAACCCACGGCTGCTGGTAACCACAGGCTACTGACGCATCCACAGCCCCTCTCCGCCTCCCAGCCACACCACATGAATCGCCATTTCCCAAAGGCACCAGGTGTGTTATCACACACTCTCACCTCTGCACACATCATTCCCTCTGCTGGAAAAATGCCCTAAAGATCCCAGCCCTATCTTGACCTGAGTCCTCTCCCACCAGGCCAAACTCTGTCATGCTTTTGATCGGTACCTGCACGACATACCATCGAGAGCAAAAGCAAGGTGCTGCACAGTGTATGCGGTATGTTATCCTTTTAAAAGGTGGGCAGACATCTATACATCTGCTCGTGGACAACTGCTAACACAATTCTCAGGGGGAGAGAACTTAGAGGCAAGGGGAAGAAGGTGGAAGCTTTTCAGTCTATGTCCTTTGGTTGCTTTTGAACTGTGTGACTATATTATCTATTCAAAATAAATGGAATTAAAGTTCTTTAAAAAGGCAAAATAAACTCCATAAACTTAAGAAAGAAATCTTACTGGTCCTTCTAGACAGAGCCTGGAACACCCTTGTCCAGGCTGGGCCACCATCCCTTCTTCCTTCAGTGGCTCTACCTGTGAGTCCATGTGCTCTGGGAGGGCAGGGCCCTGGGTGGGCTCAGCTCTGGGTCCCAGTTCCAGACCAGGGTTGGGCACAGGGAGAATCTGGGAGGGAATTTACCTGGCAGCCCCTTGAGCACATGCTTAGACCGCCTACTGAGGCAACGTAAGCCAAGGGCCCCTACCCAAGAAGCAGGCAAACCAGAGGCCCAGGGCAAAGCCAAGGTCAGTCTCTGCCCAGGCTTTAGTTACTGGGAGAGGCAGAAGGAGCATCTAGTAGGAGAGCCTGCCCAGGGCCACTTCTGGGCTTACTGGCTGGCTGCCGGGAGAAACGGAGATTCTCTGGGCCATTTGAGGTCAAATAAGCCATAGTTTGGCTTCTTCCTTCAAGATGCCTGTCCCCCGCCTACTACTTCCCACAGCCCAATTGCTCACACCCTGCTCACCTCCACCTCCTCTGACTGCATCAGGAGATTGCACGGTGGTTGCAAGGCCTTTGGCCGGTGAGTGAACCAGTAGGCGAGGATGGCAGCCAGTGCACCCATACTCACGAGGGTGGTGGCTGAGAGGCTGCGGAAAAACTGGCCCAAGTCGCCTAGCTCGGGCAGCCGCAGCATCCTCAGGATCTCCTGAGTCTGCATCTTCTCCAGAAGCGAGAGGATGAACTCTGCAGGAAACAAGAGGCAGGTGAAGGAGGAGCCCTGACAGGAGGCAAGGGAGCAGTCCTGGGCCTCTCCTCCCACCTGTCTTGTGTCACAGGAGACACACTGATCTTGGCCAGGCCTCGAGCGAGTTGGGGTACACAGGCTCCTGGTGCAACACAGTGTATCCTGAAAGCTGGGTGCCTGGAAGGGCCTTTCCCGGTGACAGGCCAGAGAGCCCTTAGCAGTCATACCTGACAGTCAGACATCCGGCCCAGTTTTCCTGAGAAACATACACTCAGGCCCTGGGCCCTGCCTGACACGTACTTCCACATCTTTCAGGAATAGAGAGCGTGCTCTGACAGCTCTGGAGTTAACACCTCCTGAGCCCTAGGGCCCGGTGTACTGCCTCTCCTGTGTGGTCATAGAATTTTGCTTATCCTTGCTCCTGCGATATGGACTGGACAGAGGGGCAGCAGGTGTGCCTAGCACAGTGCCCAGAACGACAGGGGGTGAAGGGATGCAAACTCCTTCCACTCCACCTCAAAGCTGCCAGCACCAGGCTCTCACCCTAAGGGACCCAGAGAAAGCAAGGAGGCAGAGCCCACAGAACAGCCCTGACAGACACTTCCTGCCCCCGAGATCTGAGGACAATGACCTACCTGACAAGGGTCCAGTGGATGACACACAGCAGAGTCCCCTTAGGCCCACATCCTGGCCCACCATGGGGTCTCCTTGAAGAAAAGTTGGAGCCAAAGGCCTGCCAGCGCCAGAGGTAATGCTGGGGCCATCTTTCTGAGGAATAGCAGAGATCCCAAGAGCAGCCAGGGTGAGGTCCGGGCATTGTTCTCTGACCCCAGACTGCACTGCAGCTCTGCACCACCACAGACCAAGACCCAAGAAGAAGAGCTAGCCCCACCATTAACTAGGCCTGTGTTGTCCTCCCTGGGATCCCATCTGCTAATGTCCAGAGGAAAAAGGAGGTGCCAGAGGGGAGCAGGAGGTAAGCTGGTGGGAAGGGAAAGGAATGAAGGCTCGGAGAGAAAGGGCTCAGCAAAGTGCTGTGTGCACTCCTAGGGGTAACGAGAATCCCTCGTGACATTGCATATGGTGGTCTGGGTGCCACGCTCACCCACTGCAGTCCAAGTGGACACAGTGGGCCTACAGGGGCATATGGAGGATGCCCTGAGGTGGGCAGTGGGAGCTTTTCTGTGAGAAGCACTGGTGACTGAATTTGGTTCAAAGAGGGAAGTCCCCAAGTGCTACCATGTCCTCCTGTTAGCTGCTAAGTGAAGTAGTGTTGGCAGAACAGACACATGACCGGCAGGGCTCAGGGGTCTGTCTGCACTTTGCCTAGGACTGAGGAAGGTAGCCAGGGAGGGCCAGCTGGATACTTTATCCCCACTGGGGCCTTCTTGGTGCTACTGTCCACCTGAAGGGCCTAAAGCTAGAAGTGCTGCATGACACCTATAGGTCTGCCAGCTCAATGAGGATTGTGTGGGCTCCAGGCTGACAGTCACTGGCCTTCCATCCCCAACCTTTGGGAGCATGGCTGTTGTTTTCCTTCTTGGGAAAGAATGAGAAACCCAACAACAGCTACTCTGCAGCCACGGGATATGAGCCAAACAGCAATTTTGAGAAGAGAGAAGAGAGGTCTGCTGAACTCCCAATAAGTGGCATTTGTGCTGAACTGTAACATCACCACACCAAAAATAAGGTCAAGGCTGTGCAAAGCCATTGTAGAGAAAGCAGGCAAAGCTCCGGAGTTCAAGTCCCTTCTCCTGCACTTATGAGCTATGCTAGGTCGAGCACACCCCACTTCTTTAGACCTCTTCTTCCCCATCTTTAAAATGGGGACATTATCACTCAGGCATGTAAAGCTCCTCATACTGGATCTAGCATAGGTGGAGGCATGCTGGGACTAAAGAGATGGCTAGAGGTATGCCTGTCAGACCAAGGAGGCTGCTCAGTCCAGGTAGGAATAACCACTGGACAGAGGTGGCCGAATCCAGGTAGTACGGACCCACAGGAGTTTATGCTCTACAGATGGCACGACAGGCTGTCTGAGTCCGGGGAACATTCGTCAACCACCTGCAGGCTCTGGGTGAGAGAAGTGAGCCCCCAGCCAGCCAGAGCATTCTCACTGAGTCCCTGAGGCGGAGATCCAGTTTTACCAGCAACCTCCTTGAACGGGATCAGTTTTGAGGCCATCCCACAGGAACAAACCACTCCTGGCATACTGGTCAAATTAAGGTTCTGCATCAGCAGAGGGCAGGCTATGGACCGCAGTGAATTCACCAAGGAAAACTGCTCTGGGGAAGACGCTTGGCAGGAGGCCAGCTGGCTTTCCTAGGAGATTTACTTCCTTAAGCTGCAAATGGCAGACTAAGTCACAGCCAGGCCCATCAGATAAACGACTCACTACATAGTGGAAAATCTAGATATGCGCACCAGCTCCTGGGGTGAGCTCTGAGAGCTGAGTGAGGTTTCCTCTAATGGACTGAACTGACTCCATGGGCTAGGAAGCCAAGGCCCAAGAAGTCCTGGCTCAGCTCTAAGGCTCAAGTACGTGGTCCCAAAAGTTTTAGAGAAAACCCCGGAAGGATGCCTTACTACCTCCAGTCCCCAGCCCTTGGCAGTTGCTCACAGGCCCTAAGCTACAGGCGAAAGTGGGCACTGGCTGCAATGCTGGGGTTGTCACAGAGCACAGACAAGAATGGCCAAGGCATCCACCCACCCACCCATCCACCTATCCATTCACCTAGCAGACTCTCATATGGCCTCTGCTCTGAGCTAGCTCAGTGCTGGCACTGGGACAAGCCAGATGTGGGCCTGCCCACAATCTTACGGGGCAAATACATGAGGCAGTGGGCAGTGCCGTGAGTGCCGTTTGGGCTGTGCATGGGGAACCAGAGAAGATGCCCAACTCGGGTACGGAGAGTCAGGGCAGGCTTCTGGCAGGAAGTGGTATTGATGCTGAGACTGAAGGATAAAGAGGAAAGGGTGTCCCAAGCAGAGGGAAGCAAATATGCAAAGGTTGGAGCTGAGGGAGACCATGGAGCACTTAGCAAACTATATATTCTCTCAGGAAATAAAGTCTTGAGCCCATGAAATCTTGTACGAGGGTCAGTGCCACAAGTCTGAGGCTGGTTTCCCAGATGTGCAGAGCTTTCGGCCATCACCAAAGTATCACGGCTTCCAGGAGAGGGAAGAAGAGAACTTGCCTAAACTTCCTAAACTGCTAGTGTGTGGGAGCCCATGCCTACACACTGCACTGCTCGATCCTCATGACAGCTCCACGTACTCATTATAAGGTGAGGACATAGAGACTCCACTGAAGAAGTTACCTGCCATTCACAGGGACACAGTGAGCAAGCAGGGGAGCCAGGACTTGAGCCCCAGACGACTATGGCCTCTCAAACCACTGCCTTGTGTTGCATCGCAACACTAACCCTTGCCTACACTGTACCATCCATACCCAAACCCATGCTCTCCTCTGCAGTAGTGCTGAACCCACAGAAAACCATCTTCAGGCCTGCTCAGAAGAGCCCAGGCAGGTTGCAGGGGGTAGGGGCCACCAGAGCCCGTAAGCAGGGCTCAGCCAGTCAGGCCAGTCACTTGCTCTTCACCACGCACACACCACAGGTGGGCTCCCTCCTGGCCTCACCTTATGAACTTGCCATCCTCCTATGGCTGGGTTCTCTTCCAGGAAGCCCACTCGCCTAGGACACTGGAGGGTGGTGGGAAAAGGGCTTGGCTACCCACTCCTCCTCAGGCTTCTATTTAGGTGTCCACCCCTAAGGAGGCGTCTGAAGTGACTGCAGCTCCTCTAGTCCTAAGGCTGAGCCTGTGCCCCTTCCTGGCTGGGCAGCAACCAGAGGGTGTCATTCGCACAGGCTTGCCAACCTCAGACAGTCACGGGTGCTTGCACATACCGTGAGATGCCCTTCAGACCGCCGGGAGCCTCTGGAGTGGAGAGCTGCAAATTCAGGTCCTCTGAGGACATGGACCTCAGAGCCAGCCTGTGCCACCAGGCCTTTGGCTTGGGGCAGAGCAGAGCCTGGGCCTGGGAGTCTGGTCTTATCTCATTATTTCACAGGGCCTTGGCCTCTTCTGACCTCCTCTCCTTCTCTGTCCCTGGGGTCCCAGCCATGGCTGCCTCCTTCCATGCCCCCAGGAGGCTCTCTTGGTTGCAGCAGCATGGGGCACAGGGGGCATGGGGGAGGGGGACAGCACCCAAGGGAATCAGTGGTGCTGGTGTTGCCAAGAAAGCGGCTATGAGTGTCTGTAAATATTCACCTGGCAGGGGTACCCAGCCCTCAGCATCAACTAGCCTCTTCTCCTCTAGCACATCCTATGCCTTCACCTTGGGCACAGACCAGTTCAGAATACAAAGTGGTGGCACAGGCTGGTTCAGGGCACATGGAAGGTGGGTAGTGAGAGGCATAGCTGTCAAACCCCAGAAAGGGAGAGAATGGGAGGAAGGGGGGCCCTGGTCAGAAGTATTTTGACTTCAAGGGGGCAGAAGCAGAGCCACAGGGCACATTTCCAGTGGAGATGGCCCTGAGACCCATGGCCCCACTCCAAGAGCCCTCTGCTGGTCCAGCTTCCTGACTCTAGACCTTCACGATCTAGCAAGATGGTTCTATCAGGACTACTTCCTAAACACCTCCCAAACCTGACCACTCCTCTCCAGCCTCCTGGCCTGGCCTGGTTCAGCCACCACCAAGTGCTGTCCAGACTCCCACATCAATCTCCTCACAGGTCTCCTTGCTCTAATCAGTGTTTACACTGATACCAAAGTTATGTTCCTGATACACAGACATAACCATATCATGCCGCTGCTCAAAAACATTACCTGACTCCCTCCTACCTTAGGACAAAAATTCAAACTCATAATGCTGGCACTGAGACCCTCCATGATCCTCAGATTCTTCCCTCCCCTTAGAATCACACCAGCTTCGCTCTGTATCAGCCTGGAGGCAGGTGGGGGTCCTTGCAATGGGGTTCCAGGTCTGTGCAAACT